AGTTAAACATTTTTCTCGATAGTCCTACGTGATGATTGATGATCTGTTAGGTCGTCTTTTTCAAGATCCTGGCACATTCACAAAGACCTGCCATGAATCACTCGTTTGATGCCATCATAAAGGCAGCATTTCAGTTGTACTCCCACAACATTTATTTTTTTCCCTTTCATTCTCTTGTCTTCTTTCCAATATGATTAATAGATTCAAGACGTGCTATTTATGTTTTTCTGAAATCCGAAGTTGTTCAGTTTAATTATACCGTGATTTGAGGATTTGTTGCAGCTAATAGAGTTTCGTTTAAACATCTCCATTGATTACGTTTTCTCAAGTAATGAAATAAAAATGGATCACTATATCCGGCACATTGATGATGTTCAACGTCTACTGGTGAGATAACTGATCTTTTTTGTTTAAGCACCACTATTTTCATTAACACTCTTTGGGGAGAGATTAATACATGTATATTAAAAATATTTTTCATGTGTTAGTTAATCCAGTATTTATCATCGCCCCTGTCGGATGGTCCCCCCATCTTTAGTTAAATCTAAGTACCAAATGTACCACATTATCGAGTAAATGTGATAAGAAAGCACAGTTTTGATCAGTTTGGGTGTGATTTTGACGAATCCCTTTTTCATCAAAACTGTCCGGTTTATTGATTAAGAGACGTTTTTAAAAGGGTGAAAGCTGCAGTGAAAATTTAGAGCAACCGGACGCCTTCGTTTTGTAAGACGGGCAGCAGATTGTGTTCATATTTACCAGATATAATTTCAAGCATTGAATTTATCTACAATAATAATACAAAGCTTGTTCGTTAAAGATCTCCCAACAGTTGCCATGGCAAAATTTCCCCCATTGCACCCTGCAGGGCGTTGCCCATCTTTATTAGCTCACTTGGTGTAGAAAAGTAGGGCGCAAAACTCCATTCATTCATTCATTTATTCATTATTTAGTTTGTAACCTCTACAAGTCACGATTCATTTTCACACTCTTTGGGGAAATACTTATTTCAACATCTTAATATCCGTTTTTACCTTGTTTGATGTAATAAAACGGGATTCCAATAGCAGGGATAAAAGAAGTCAAAGAAAGAATCTACTGACTAATTTGGAACTCAGTCAAACAGGTAATGGTTAATATAGCTGTAAGAGCTAAATACGTCTTGAATTGTTTTAAAATTCAAAGCCTGGTAAGGAATCTCGTGGTAGTACAGAAAATATCTGTATATAACTTTATTTCCTTGGTAATTTTAACACTACATAAGCAGATGTAATGTAAATCTCCGATAGCCAGATACGATGTTTTTCATAGACCTATTGCTGTTATTGACTACATATGTTGAAAAACAATAGACAGTGACATTCGATGTCATGGTTAACGATACGTATCGTTGATTTTTTTTTTTATTATTCTATAAGCACTTATATTATAAAAAGAACGCATTTTCAATTTAGTGTTCAATATATGAGTGGGAGTGAGTGTTACGAAATACTGCACAAAAAACCTAAAATACATTGAAGATAAACTTTTACGACTGGTCATAGTAATCCATTACTGTGCTGTTCAGCTTAATTCGTATCATTTCATTTTGAATGTCAATGACTACCCAGGGAGCTTTTAGGTTTTACTCCAAATAATAAAACTCCCATAACAATTAATATCAGCAGCTGCTTCCACCAAGGGACACAATTCATGTTTGAAAAGAATAATTGTCATCGACGCACCGAGTCACCTTTCTGTCCGATATGGAACTCGCATTGGGTTCATTAAGCGAAATTTAATAAGATACGTTATAATTCCGGGTAATTCCTGTTGGAGATTGTGATCTGTTTGCAATGCATTATATGGCTGTAAGCCTGATAACATTTACCATTTACAGAATAATAACGTGAGAAAGAAACTTAACAAGCACCCTGATTTACCTCATATCCAAATGAATCAACATCAGGGAGAAAAAAAACGTGTGCCTTCGTAGCGAAGGAGTTTCGGGTCCTTGTTGAAGTGAATCAATTACAGATAGCATAATACATATTATATTACTCTGCATAAATATCACGCTGGGTTTTCTGAGAGTTATTTAGTCCATGCTATCTATCGCACAGGGTTTAGTTTCGATTGTACTGGTTGTCTTCGGGGAACACGTTGTCTGGCTTGATTAGTGAATGACCATCTTTATGATGACATATTAAATCATTTTGAGGTTTATTAATCTTTCGTATACTCCTTTTATTACGATAGAAGGTGGTATTTAAATTGTTCCAATCAGCTTTAGATCAAACGATTGTTAGTTTCTTATTTTAACAAGAGGTTTATTTGCTTGTATATTAGCTACAATTGATAGTGCCATGGGAATTATAAGAATGAACAGAACATATTGAGCCCAAGAGACTTTTTCTTGATGACGTTACCGGCTGAATATGACACAATCCAATTAATTTGTCAGTATTTTCGGTGAGAAGTATTAATAATATCTTGCATTTGTACTATTATTCTACCTTAAAATTTTTGCAATTCCTCTTGCATTACATGATGTATTAATAGTAATGTCAATCAGGTAATTGTTGATTGGATTTAACCGCGGGATTCCGATTCGTTATGCTGGTATCACACCCAATGTGGTAATTTTGGTTCCATATCAGAGCCAATTTACTTCTTGTGACGTTTGAAATATAGTTAAAAAAATACTTTGAATTTACGTCTGGAGAAATAGAGATATATGGAAGTCATTTAATGTTGATATGATAATAATGGTTTTTTTGAATGAATGAATGGAATTTCACGTCTACTCTTAATGGGTGTTTTGATAGTGGTGATGCACCACTTGGTGGTCCTTTAGGGCCTAGTTGTTTGTGCAGTTCTCTTATGAAAGATGATTGTTTTGGGGGCGATCCTCAATATTTTTTCCTTTCGCTGGTATCTAATCTTTGCTGTTTACTGACTAGGAAACACTGTAGGCGTTGGTCACTTCTCTTTCCTTACTGCCACATTACAACAGTGCGTTCGTCAAGTTGCATACGACGAAATACAAATAGAAGCAATGAAAAGGATTAGAAGCACACAAAAAATTCATAAAAAAAACGTGTGACCCACGGGTGCAAAGATATAATTCATTGTGTCATTACAGCTATACTGTACCACGATGATTAGTTGGAATTATAAGGGATGCTACACTACACTATATCCCATTGTGTCCAAACCACACAACCATTCGTCATATTTCCTCGGGTTCGTGGTAACACAAATGAGAAAATTTTACGCATTCATAGCTAAATATTGTAAACAAATTTCAGCCAATCAAAACGAATCACTTTATGACGCTTTGGGTCTAAAGATTTACAACCCTAAAATCATTCGACAATTTACCCTTACCACCCACAGTTCATATCCGATTTTTATACGTGGCAACATGGCAATGTGGACGTATATTGCCGTCGCCGCTGTCCGTCGGTCCGTCCGTCCGTCTTGTAGGCGCGATAGAGGCTACAGTTTTTATCCGATCTTGATGAAACTTGGTATTCGTGTATATATTAATGAGATCTCGGACAAGTTCGAAATTGGTAATAATCGGATGAACGGTTTCAGAGTTATAGCCCTTGACTTAGTAAAACGCGTTAAATTTGGCTTGTATGCATGATAAAGGCTGCAATTTTTTTCCGATCTTGATGAAACGTAGTATGCATGTATAAATTGATGAGATCTTGGTCAAGTTCGAAATTGGAATTAATCGAATGAACGGTTTCAGAGTTATTGCCCTTGACTTAGTATAAACGCGTTAATTTTGGCTTGTATGTATGATAAAGGCTGCAATTTTTAACTGGTCTGGATGAAACTTGGTATGCATGTATATATTGATAAGGTCTCAGTCAAGTTTGAATTTTGTCATAATCGGATGAATGGTTTTAGAGTTATTGCCCTTGACTTAGTAAAAACGCTTCAAATTTTGCTTGTAACCCCGATACAGAGTGCAGTTTTTATCTGATCTCAATGAAACTTGGTATGCATGTATATATTGATGAGATCTCAAGTTCGAAAATGGTTAGGCCTGATAGAGACTACATTTTTCATATAACCACTACAGACTTTAACATTTCTGACAGCTGGGCGTATGTTACCTTGTCTGGCAAGCTATCTTTGAATATTTGGTGAGTAGGATAGACAAGTTCAAATAAAGATTGTACGATTCGACAGGATACCCGAGTTTCAACCCTTCATACACTAAAAAATATGGTAAATATGGCTTGTAAACGCTATTTCGGCATCAATTTGTATCCGATTTTAAATAAAATTGGTCTGTTGGTTTTATCTACGATATTTTGTACAAAGTTCGAATTTGGGTACGACTCAATAATGGAGTTACAACTTTTGACACACTGGAATTAATTTAAATGTGCCTTGTGACCGCGATAGAAACACCCTATCAGATAAGCGGGTGTATACTGGTAGACAACAGCTACACTGACTGTAGCTCTCTATAGCTATTGATTCGATCAAGTTCGATGAAGTAAATAAAGTAAACGTCCATTTGACAAAGATTCGCTTAATTGTGGAAAGGGGAACAAAAAGAAAGGTCTGAATAATCTTTCTGAAGCTTGTATTGTAGTTTGTAGTTCCTAGAAAGAAGGTTTGTGAGACTAGGTAAACACAACCGTAGTTTGAGTGGTTCTGAAGCACAGTCGGTTAGAAACTTTACATGATATCATGTGCTTGGTTAAGTCAAGGATTGTTGTCGGTTCTAATCACGCTTTGCGATTAACCTTGATTGAATAATCGTCCCTCGTTACTCCTGTCGACCGAGCTGTAAATGAGTAAGCTATGATTAATGCAAATGGGTTTTGCCAAGGACCAGCTGGCGGAACGGATCCTAAATGAACCAAAGTTGATATCCTTGTAAAACAAAATAGTTGTTTCTTTCTTATATGCATACTGAAACCTATCGTAAATTGTGGTCGGACGGTAGTATACATCTACAATTCCATATGGGCGTATAAAATAGTAAAAATACGTATACAAAAAAGTCTTTATAAGAAGCAAATTATAATTTTAAAATATTACAAAGAATACTTTACATTCGGTTTATCAACTTCTGTTAATCACATTTGGTCATATAAATGAATTCTGTTTCATTAGACATTTGAAAGAACGGGAACCATCACCAGCCCAAAATATCATTTTGTAACATAATATAGTAAGTTCGGCTAAAACTGTTGCTTCGGTAGAGTTCTACAGCAAAACATTTCGAAGAACCAGGAGTCATAAGTTGCATTTAATATTTTCTGAATCTCGATAGGCTCAATCGTAACGCTACATATGATTCGATACTTATTTATATTTCATGGGTTTCATCCTTGAATGATAATAGTCAATTCTAGACTGTTAAACAACACGTTAACAATAACATACAAAAAATAATAAACTCTTTATTTTACATGGGTCAGAATTACGTCCACCACACCAAAGTGACATGGTCCTGTCTAAGATTCAGCCCATGGAATGAATATAAGATAATAATGCATTTAAGATGAAAGAAATATATATGAAAAGCATACTATATTCTGTGGCGGAGCCAAAGGGGGGCAGAGGGGCCCCCCACACTCCTCGCAGCCCCGAAAGCAAGTTTTTCGGGCAAAAATCTCATACCTAGGTTGGAAATTAGGGCAACCTCAGATGTTTCGACCCACCCCCTCGGACGTAAACCTGGCTCCGCCTCTGGCTAAGTTACATTGAATATTCATAAAGATGCTCTTAATGTAACTTCATCCCATAAGTCTATTTTACTGATCATATAACCAATTGCTGGCGGAGATTACATTCTTGCATTTATCTAATTTTAACATTATAAATATAGATAACACTGTAATAAACGTTGATTAATAAATAGTAAAAAGTATGAACAGCTTCATTAAATAATTTCTGAAGCTAACAGCAATCAAACGATCGGTTCGACATTTGTTCGATTTTTAAATCTATAACTCAGTTATCTCTACTTGTCCGAACACAAATGTTCCTGATTCTCCATTTACAGAATCTTCGGGTGATTTTATTTCTTCGGAATTCCTCAGGTCATGTCCCAAATGAGGTTGGTCGTCATCAGAATCTTCTGATTTCTCGATCTTTGGAGGAGTTGTTTCGTCTTTGACGCCATCCTCATTAAAACGAACACGCTTGGCGTAGTCGGGTTCTGGCTCGTCCAGGTCGCTCAGATTTGAACTCGTGTTAAGATCCTCAGGACCAGCTTCATCTAGGTCTATAACCTCGAGGCTGGTTGGCAGATTTTCGTTGTGAACGTTCGGTACACCTTTGAATTCAGGGTCAATTTCTGGTTCATCTTCAACATCTTCTTCACCAGCCGATCTCTTCTTTACAGCTGCAGAGAGCTCAAAAAGAACATTTTCGTAATTAGGAGTTTTCAGAGCATCTGCAGGTGGTTTATGAGTAGTATTCATCAACTCGGAAGATGATGACGATTTTGATAAGGATGGCAAAATGTCTGGTAATGGTGGTGGGGCTGGAACAAAAAAGCCTTCAGATTTATCTGTATCCACTAGTGATCTATCCTCATTTGTTACGTTCGTTATTTCTTCATGTTTCACTATGTCGTCGTTTACTGGATCATTAATGCTTTCGTCATTATTTAATAAATCTTCATTAAGTGGATTTTCTGTGTCTCCATTGTTAGCATCATCCACATGAGGTTCATTGTAGTCTTTTTCAACTTTGTGCTCTAAAATATTATCTGGTGTTTCTGATGATGCGGTTGGTTGATCCAGGTCATTATCTAATTCTAGTTCTGTATTTTGGGAGCTGTTTTGCCGCTCCTGTAATGAAGATAACATAATAATATATATAATTATATAATTTTCTAAGTGTATTGTTATGATGACTTCCAATAAATAAACTTACACATCATTGTTATCTAGCACAAACAACTAACATCAAGATATGAAATGTTGGTGAGACTTTTTAACTTATGCTGTAGCAGGATACATTCAATCTAGAATTGAGTGTTTGTGCACGTCCTTAGTTTGTGAATAAATAGTTATTATACTCAACCGTAGATAAATGTTCATCAGCGACATAACCAGGGTTAACAAAACCGGATACTTGTCCATTTGGTACATTTGCAGAGGTTTTATCGTCTTTTATCAAATTTTGTGTTGATGTCGAATAATAATCTGATACTTCTTCTTCTTCAATGGCTATAGATGTCTCTTGCGTTTCATAGATGGAATTCTTACGACTTAAATTATGAACTAAACGCTGCAGTCGTTGATACCTTTTTGACAAACAACAAAAAAATTAAATGTTTTGTAAGCAAAGACAGACAAAAGTTGTCCCGATATGCAAATTGTAGATTATAATAATATAATTTTATCAATGGATTGATTATACGTCAATGAATAATATATTGGTGACATTATTTATAATACCAGAGTATCAATATAATATCATTTATAACAAACATAAAAGTTGGCATGAAATCAGCCGCTGGTTGAAATGACAAAGGCAAATAAATTAACAAAATAACAGACAGGACATGCTAATATACAGATAGGACATAGGCGTAATAACGCATAAGATACCTTTTAAATTTATAGTATGTAACAGCCGTAAGAAGAATAGAACCAACGAAAAGGACACAAGCAACTGCTATTAATGCGATAGCTTCAGAGCTCATTCCATTATCAGCTGTTGGTGGGACAGATTGTTGCTCTCTCTTAAATAATTCTTGTATGGCGTCCCACTTAGAATAAACCCGTCTGCAAGTAAAATATTGTTATGATAATGTGTGTGACTTAATTACCACTGGAGGGTGATGAAAACAACCAATTACGTAAGGGCCTACCATTAAATCTTCATCTTGTCAAAGGGACAGAACTCAAAATTACTAACACGGGCTGCGATATTGTTCCTGCTTTTTATCATTATTCGGACTATATGTAATGTCCGTTCATGATTATCTGTATTTTCATTTTATATAAGAATTAATGCCCTAATGGGCTACGAATTAAAAACAAAAACTAAAATGAAATAAATTAATATACATCACCTGCTTAGATCGTTCAAAGGTATTTCATCTGTTCCATTCGAAGCAGATATATAAATAACCGATCTGAAAAATATATTTTTACATTTATCCTAAATCACACATATTAAAATTTGGAAATTTTACCTTTTGAAACTATTCAAATTAAAATAACAAACTCCGAAAATATTATTATATTTTGTCAAAACAACAACATGAAATTCTCGTCACTAAAAATATAAGAATTTTAGAAATTGTCTAAACTCCATTTTTGTGGAGATTTGAAATGGGTATTATCATTTGTATTTTTATACGCCCACATGAAATGGGGTCGAATACTGTTTTCACCCATGTCCGTCGGTCCGTCCGTACACAATTGCTCGTATACACTCTACAAGACACAATTCTTGACGGATTTTGACAAAACTTGGTATGAATGTTCGTAATCAACCAAGGATGAATCCTATTGAAAGTCAGAAGAATCGAAAAATATTAAGTATATAAGTTATTGCCCTTGTTCTTGAAAACGCGTTCAATTTTCAGCTTGTAAACATTCTGGAAGACACAATTCTTGACGGATTTTGACGAAACTTGCCATGAGTGTTTGTTATCACCAAAGGATAAAGCATATTATGAATCGAAAAATATTTAGTACGAGTTATTGCTCTCCTTTTTGAAAACGTGTTCAATATTTAGATTGTAAACATTCTAGAAGGCACAATTCTTGATGGATTTTGACGAAACTTGGTCAAATTAGTTATTATCACCCATAGATGAACCCTATTGAAAATCCAAAAAATCGAAATATGTTTCCTAGGAGTTATTGACCTTGTTCTTGAAAACGCTTTCAAATTTTAACTCTAAAAGGCATAATTCTTGGTTTTATTATTATTCAGCACCGCGCTTGATTGAATATTTGCCTGCTAGATTTTTCAAGGACAAGGTCAATAACTCATACTCAATATTATTCAGTATCGCCCTAAACAGTTCAAAAGAAGTGTATGACTAAAAGTTAAATATTTCATACTGGTAATTGTTACTGTACTGCTAAATATTTTTATTCAGAATCAAATCTGCCGGTGGGCGTATATTACCTTGCCTGGCAAGCTATCTTTGAATTACTAAGCTATTGACGTAAACAATGACCAATGTTCTAAATAATGAGCAACTAGAATTTGCAGATGCGCCATTTAGGGGGGATTGATTTGAGTCTTGAAAAATAAGTACTAGAAATGTACGAAAATCGCACAAATCCTTCAAAAATATCTCATACTAGGAATTTCTTTTCCTATTTCTATAGATGTCTTTTCTATATATGGCAGTGTCTAAAGAAAAGACGACTCATCTTTTTAACTTTCAAACGCGGATAATTGTGGACACACTTGAAGGCTCAAATTGCGATAGTGAAAACTTCCGTTTCTAAGATTAAGGCAAATAAAACGGCCTATTTTTCCCTTTAAAAGTAGTTATGGTTAATTCGTTTTGATATTATAATTTTACACTTTATAAATGAATTGAATGCTAATAATAAAAATGCTGATAATTTCTATTTTTTTCTTAAAGATAGGTTCCCTTATTTCCCTTAATGAATATGCTAATACTTATATGAATAGAAAGTAGAGGTTTTCTAATGACTTGGAAAAATACCACTTTGTCTCACATGATCATAATTAATTCATATATTAATTCATTTTTAGCTAAATTGGATGAGAATAAACGGCAGAATTCCAATGAGTGACCGATCAAGAAAGGTCAAAAGTTATTTATCCAGACTTTACATATATGGACATTTATGCAATAAGAACAAAATTATATGATTAAGAATACACGATAATTCATTAGAACCACCAAATAATCAACTTTGCTAAATTTTAAGCAGAATTCAACTCAAAACTCATATGCACGAGCCCTTTTTGTTAAGGACCGAAACTCGGCAGTTCATTGAACTCATTCAGGCTGTATGTAAGTTTGCTAGAAAGTAATACTTACCCTCCCGCACCAGAAGAAGAGGCGCTTGTTATCTCAGTATCTACTCCAAGAATATCTGTCAACGCTCTTAAAATAGAAGAACAAAATTAATAAGCATTATGTTTCATCAGTTTCTGGTTTCTGTTGCAATTCTCATAATATAATCTAAATTATACATGTACGTAAATAATTCATCCATGATTGTAAACATTTGGTTTACATGTGTGGTGTAAAGAAAACTAAAGCCTAAAATGATTTCCATTTTAATCGTTTTGTAATAAAAATTATTTTGAATTTGTACTTACTTTTCATACTTGCCCTTATCGTCAACAATTGTGTTTTTTTCTGTTCCAACTGGTATTCGGATGGTTCCATTACCGAGGCCAACATGTATCTTAAAGGGATTGTTCATATTGGTAGAATTGCAAGGTCTTGAAAACCTTGATATTCTTTTTTTTTGTAAACAATATTTTAGTCACATGAAAAATGATAAACAATATTTTAGTCACATGAAAATTTTTGGGAACAGGCTTTTGCCTTTATGACCTCTCTCCCGAAAAATAAGCTACATGAACACATATATTAATTGATAGATTAGTATGTTATTACAGGAAGAGGGTATCGGAATATGTCGGACATTGGGGAAAGGTAGATTTTCAGATTCTTGGTTTCAAGGGCAAGAAGGGTTGTTCGAAATGTGACCTTTGTGTCCACAAGACGACAATGCAGAATTGAATATTACGAGAGTTAATAGCATATGAATCAAGTACAAGTTTGGTTTGAGAGATGCTTTAAAGAATGTATATAGATTGTATACTGTTTGGGTAATCCATTCTCTTGGCCAGATTTGAAAAATCATTCTGTAAGGCAATTAAATTCTATTAAATCATATTTCTCAGGTTGTATGGATTATCATTTCTTAGTGGAAAACGTCCTGAGTACATCTACCTTAAAACTGATTTTATTACACTTCTTTCAGTTTTGCAACACAGCCATCAAATATGATGTCACAGTAATCGAAGATAAACAAACGCAGAATAAATGGTTTGCAATGATTTCCTATTAAGACAATATTTCACCTCTCACATTTTTATACTAAGGGTATAAATTGAAAATTATATTCCACTTTCACATAGAGCAAAGTTGTCCGGAAAATGTCGCAGAATATAATTTTCATAAATCAAACTTGTTATTTCTAGAATATCAATTCAACATGATTAACCAAAGTTAACTACTCGAAAATTTCATTTAAGCCTTTTAATCAGACGAAGCTTGCTAATCCTTCTCGAATTCAATTTGCAGTGACATGGACAATTTTGTTTTGTAGACTCTCTTTCTGTTTTGTACCTGTACAACAGTTAGATTCTGAAGGCTGGGTTGTCCACTATCGGCAGCACGTACTATCAGTGACAGGAATTGTTGGGTTAAGCCAATATCAGGCATCGTTGACAAAGATATTCCACCATCAGTCGTTCCGATAGAAAAATATTTTGAACTGAAAAGAAAACAGTATTTTGAACTTAGGGCGAAACGATGATGTTAATCAAACTAATTGAGGTATAACGCCACTAAATAAGTGCTAAAATATGGATATTTAATATAACATAATATCTATTGTAAAATTTATCGTCAACTCTCTTCATTGCCAACGTTCGGGTGTCTATATTTTCTATATTTCTAATCAGCTGTAGCGACCTTTAGCTCTAGACGGTCACGAGCCGTTAAAATGAATCCGCGATCTGACGCTTCTGGTAGCAATCCGATATTTTCCCTGATAATCCACCAACCACATCAGCGGGTATCTTACATATTAGGTTTATATAAGTCAGCTATCTGATATGACCTGGTTTAGGTTTATTGGATTTGCATTTTCAAATACCAAAGCAAAGTAATTAAATATATTTTGTCAGATAAGCTTCCGATCAATTAAAATTATTGACGAGAATATCGGTCTGCTTCCTGGAAGGATAGGTGGTTGATTCATCACAAGTTCCCTAGATTTTAAACATAGAGTCATTATGTAATTAGTTTTCTTCTTCAAAATCAAAAATTCTTACAGCGATTATATATTTGAAAAATCTTACTTTTGTCCTTCTAAATAATACGTTACATTGGCGTTTACGCCTTCATCTTTGTCTGTGGCCTGCATAAAATATATATTCAAAATGTTAAATCAAAATTCCTCACACCACCATGATTTTTTTAATATGAAAGGCTGTTTAAGTTGGGTGACGACTAGCTGAGCAATTTGATAATGTGGTTAAAGACAAAACAGCTTGAATTACATTCTGTCACAGTCTCTGACGGCCATGATGAAACCTTCTACAAATCAAGAATCCGAGCACATAAATACATCTGGCATAAGATATCTAGCTCATAATTAGATTATGAAATAAAATACAATTAATATCTCATTTCATTATGCATAATTAGTTTGGATGTCGCACTTTCATAGGGTAATTCGTTAAATATTATTCGAAGGTCGAAATTTTTTTTGATCAAATTTATGAAAAGGTTTCAACTAAAAATATCGAGTCTCCATGAGGCCCAACACCAAAGCTTGTTAAGCTGCTCACGTAATAAGTAACTTTTGTTTTTTATTACCCTTTTTCAAAACAAATTCAATTTGATCCAGTAGATACATATATATAAATGTTATATAATTATTTAAAATAATTATATAGGTATGATTGACGACGTATTTGATAATAAAAATTTTGCATACTGCCCCTTTCTCTGCCCGTTTATTTTCAGGAAGACAACCTGGCTAGGTAATGCCATTATGTACCTTGACATCGAGATTGCGCAGGCTCAACGAACTGAAATATTGATACACGTCAGTACGTCCGTCTCTTTAACCTGACAAGCTACTTATTCTTTTATATTTTTTGTCTGCGTCTTGTGGTGTTAAAGTAAATTTATATCAAATATCATTATCTAATCCCTGCAATTTTTGACAAACTGTTTCCTTTTCGGTTTAAATATTCATTGCAAGGCCAATCTTTTTTTTTTATCTTTGTGATAATTGGAAAAATTTTCACCGTTTTTCGTCATAGGACCTGGCCCAAAAAAGCAAAATAAATGAAATGATCTTGTGTTTCTCAAGAGACGAAGATAATTATGTGCTATTTCAGTTTACCTAGATTGGTTAGTTATAAATTAAAAGTGATTTCCATAGATTTTCGTGGAGATCGGATAATCACGCACTGATTTACAATACTAAATATGTTCGAAGGTCTCGTGCTCAGTTTCGAACTAACGTTTTTTTTAAATGAAATAAATGGAGATTTACGTCCTACTTTTTCTGCACCTTATGGGGTAATGAAGACGGGCTACACCATACAGTGTTCAATGAGACTTATTTTGCGAGGACCGCGGCATCAGCCTACTGTGTTTCGATTTCCTAATCGAGGAATCTGAAGGCCTCGGTTTATTTTCCATGTCAACCCCTCCGACCTGCATCACTGACGAGGGGAAAGCAGGTTGAAAATCCGAAAGTATCATCTCGACCTATGCCTGGATTGAACCCTGGAAAATTCCTAACCGTTTAGCTCCGATGTTGTAAAATGCAAAATGTCTTAAAAATTTTGATTTGCTGGTGGTGTCATAAAACGGATGAATGTTCACGAGGCCCGTCTTTACACCCCAAGTGAAGTGGCTAAAGTAAAAATAAAAGCTAACGAAAAAACGGAACGAATGTTTAACCAATTTAATTTAGGCTGGCTCCCAGTCATACAAATTGCTTATTATACCCGCGTATTTGTTATATCAGAGCCAAATTGAAACGTATTCCTAACCACATGCCTATTGAAAATTGTTGGACGCAAACAAAGCAAAGCATTTAAACGGGTCTTTCTATTTACCATCTTGTATCAAAGGAGTGAGATGCAAAAAAAAAGTTGTTCTAAAAATGTGAACAATAAGAATTCACTTACCTCAACTTTGCCAATAAATGAACCAGATTTCATATCATCAGTCAAGGAAAACAAATAATTGCTTTGAACAAATTCAGGGGCATTATCATTGACATCTTTGACTGTTATGTTCACAAAATAACTGTTCTGTGTCTACAGAAAGAGTAGGAAATACATTTAGATGAAAAAGAATACGTAGCTCACAATTACTCGTTAACCTTGGGATCGACACCGTTTTCAACAGTTTCTGGGTCATTTATGCAGTTCGGATAGGCGAATATGGATAGAACAATAAACCAAGGCCTGTGGGCAAAAGGCAGATTAAAGATCCACTGAAATCCTCAAAAAGAGTAGACAATACCCAATTGCTCAAGGGAGTCTGGAGTATTCAGACGTGAACTTTATTTCATTTGAAACTCTAATCAGTCAGAAATTTGGAAGCAATTTTCATAAACATGTACCACGACCAGCAATGATCTATGCCAAGAATTTTATACATAATAATATGTAAGTTGTAAGTATAAGTTGTAATGAGAATAAGAAAACATAAAGAAGCTTTAAAAAATACATAATACAATTCAAGAAAATTTGTTCTGCTTTATTTTTATCTGAAGTAGAATTTTTTAGTATAAATTCCTTTCAACTTTTGAATCTTGCTGTCGAATAAGTAAAGTTATAGCTGATATTTGAATAAAAGTCACGAATATGTCGCCATAACAAACCTGAGAACCGTTTAATACATTAAGCTGGAGGCTATAGCATTGTATATTCTCACGATCTAATTTAACTTTCGTTTTGATAATGCTGGAATAAAAATCAGAAAATAACTGACCTAGATCTGAAAAGAAAAAATAACGTCGAAACCACGATCGGAAAATATTACATGTCGCCATTTAAAAGCTAGCGGCAATATATGCTTCATGTAAAAACATACTTGAGACATAGCCTGGATCTACATATTATTCCATTACCCCATACTTCTATTACAATACAGTATAAAACATGGTTTGGGTCTATTTTGGTTAATTACTCTACATATTACAGGTAGAAACATATTACCTTTGGTTAGACATTAAAAATTAAAACACCTTTTGCCTTCAGCAAGCTTTAAAGGAGAAGGTAATTGAATTCATCCCTGATTTAGTTATTAACGTTGTATTAGACTACCACTACCTTCTTGTATCATAAATGGAACGTCTTCAATCGGGATCATTACCCACTTTAGCCCCATCAACATGCGCAAAATTTTCTCAGATTTTCTCATGGAAATGAAATGAATGGAGTTTTACGTGTGGGCTAATGAAGACGAAAGATGTACTCATGGAGATTACGCAAGTAAGAAAAGCGGCCACATGCCACCATAAGTAAATTCACTTATGAAAGTATATATTATACTCACGTAAGTGTCCAAGTGAATAGCTGAAGTGAGTTTATATACAACACAGTGGCTATATTTACGGCATCGCACAGAATAGTGTGTAGGCTAATTTTACGCCTGCGCATTTCCAAACAATAACAATGTCTTAAAGATGGATTCCCATATTTTCATTTATGAAAATGAAAATGCTAATACTTATATGTATAGAAAGTAGAGGTGTTCTAATGACTTGGAAAAATACCAGTTTGTCTCACATGTCCATAATTAATTCATAATTAGCTAAATTAAAAGAGAATTACCATCAGAATTTCAATGAGTGACCTTTTTTTGTTTATCCAGACTGTCCATACAGCGACATTAATGATTGGTTAAATTTTTGCATAATATGCAATAAGATCATAATGATATGATTAAGAATGCATGATAATTCATTAGAAACACCACATGATCAAATAGTTTGCTTAATTTGACACTAAAAATAAGAAAACCCATCTTTAAATGAAAGTAAACCGGACGCGCTAGAATTAACTTTTTTCTGGTGTGAAATACGGCAGTTTTGGGATCTTTCAGCTGCTAAAAAGCTGGGAATTCAACTGTGTTGGTTTGTACGTCTGAAGTTCAGAAATTGCTCTACTTTTTCTAATTTTAACGGATTTCCCATGACACATTTTAGTTTGATTGGTTTAAAATACTACCTTTGGGCCGAGCTTTTAGTGAAGAAATTTCTTAAAAAAAACAATTTATTATCAGAAAACAAAAAAGATACGAAATTGTAATTTCTCTTCTGTTTACTTTCATCGTCATCCGTTCTCTCGTTGTTAACTCTAATGATCATATCTCATATTTTCTCCTTTAGCTTGTTGCAGAAAAATCATAACAGTGGGTTCCGTTATTCCTTTTTTATTAGATCGCGCTCGGAGGAGGTGGTTGAACATGTCGGGTAGCGAATGCATACATCCATTTTAATTGTAATCAACAATTTAATTAGAGTGCTCTTGTAAAAAATAGCGCAAATATCAATGCCCAAGACTGCACTATTGTTGCGAAGGTAAACAAACGCGATGAAAAGAACAAGTCCGTTTTTTAATTGACCATGTAGACCAATTTCAGGAGTATGGGGACATGTGTGCATCTGAATTGATTAAATCTCGATATATGAATTTAACTGTTATGTTTTCAAGAGAGCCTATATTATAGTAGTTGTACTATTTATCATTTGTGCAGATTCGGGTACGATTGAAATAAAAACGGACAGTGCAATTTGTTTTTGGGTTAAAAAGATAAATAAAAATAAAAACAAGCCGAAATTCAAAAAATTTGACTGTTTGTATTTATGATTTGAACTAGACCTGGGTGTGCAAATAATAAGTCACGTAATTTTGGGTAGTGCAAGTAATATTGACCATATAGTCTCACTTTTACTATAAATATAAAACATTTCAATTACTTTTTTTTATTCGGCACAAATCGGTCGAAAAGTGAGAAAATATGTTTTACTCATGATTCCAAAGATAATTTGAACTAATTTGGAAATGTTTTCTACTAAAAAGCTCAAACTTACTTTTTAATTAACATGAAATCATCATTAGTCTGCAGATCATATTTGAATCGGTTGGAATAAAACTGAAATGTACACAAATGAGAAGAAAATAGTGAAAACAGAATGTGGCACTACAAAAATTGATCTTAGTTACATATGTGTAGAACCGGAAAGGTCGATTAGGCGACACCTCTACATCAATGCTTCTGCTATATTTTGTTACAGCTGGAGAGAGAAAGCTTTAAACTTTTAGGAAAAGCAACGGATTTCTCTTTGATGAATTATTGAATGTGATTCTATAGCAGTCAGTTAGAGCGTCAGTTCTTTACATGAGTTCATTTGCTTGGTTACGTCGAGCAAATGGCGGCTATAGGTTCCGATCTCTATCGGCGTGTGGAAGTCCGATGACCTTGAATAAGTCATCTTCACTTATAATTCCAGTCGATCCAGCTGTAAATGGGTACGGATAATCCGGGAAAGATCAATGCCAAGAGCTTCGGCCAAGGACCAGCTGATAGAAAGGTTCCTTAACTGTGAACCTAAATTGTTATCCTTGTCAAATATTTGTTTCTTTCTTTAAAATTATGTGGGCTCCTTTCATGTAGGAATTGTCATAACATTCAATTTTGAAAGGGAATCTAGTTTCAACAACTAAACAACTGGCAGTCCATTTAGATCCGTAAGATTGGCAATATTTATCAGCCTAGTATCAATTTGCACCTAGAACTAAAATCCCACGAGTACACATCAGTAACAACTAGGCCTATATATTAATTTAACCGCATGTTACAGTAGAGCCTACTCTTTTTGTATTCAATTTTCATAGTATTATTAACGTTAAAAATGAGTAATGAGTCTGAGAATTTTAAATAAGTTAATCGAGTCCCAATGCACTATATTAATGTAAAGTTGAGATTAATTTTATCTGTCGGGCAATTTGAGAGTATTGATGTTGACGTCGACCTGTGAATAATTACTATTACAACGCTTCGGGACCCGTCTCATTTTAATTACAATTGGTGCCGAATGGTGAAATAAGAAACCGAAGAGACTGTCATATTGCTCTACTTTGGATTTCGCTATCCCACAGTTCGTCCTTGTTATTAACAAACGGTAAGTAAATGGCGTGCTTTGTTACAAAAACGTGTCGAGAACGGGACTTTGTACCTATAATTTAGACTACTACTACTACTACTACTACTACGACAACGACAATACCACAAAGATACCATTAAAGGGACAGCGGTGCTATTTTTTTTACCAACCGTACCTTATTCTCAGAAACTGGAATTGTTTAGCTAAGTATGCTAATAGTGTTCACACACAGCTCACTGTCGACATTCGAGTCTTCAAATCCATGTGTGTCCCTATTTGTCCGGGTTTGAATGTTAAAATAAGGACTTTCTTGATACCTTACAATAATCCATATGACTGTGTACATTGGATCTCGCAAGTGGATATTGGCAAGTGTGCACCCACCAAAATGATAAGGAGAAAAATGTATTCTCAGTTCATGTAGGGGGAAATCAAAGTATAGCAGAAGACCTTGCAAAGATATTCTCGGTGTAGAACTGGAGCAGACAATCGCCTGTTGGCGAAGTTAGATCATTTCTTTGTCTCCTTTCCTACTACAGTAAATTTTGTTACAGATTTTAGAAATACATATATAAGGCCAAGCCGTTATATAGAAGTCGACATTTTTAATCATTTTATTGTGATGCTATTGGTACCAGTGCAGGTGCTGTCCTGTCACAACTTCAGTCATGAAGAAAGAGTTGTCTGTTATTAAAGTACGACATTTTCAACTGTCGAAGAGCTACTGTGCCACAAAAAGAGTGATATATCATTAAAAAATAAGAAACGACCATGGCGTTTTGGGGTGGCGAATCAACTGGTTAGAGACTCATTATGAAGTAGAGCACTGCTTAAACTATATTCACATCATTGAATACTATTCTGGTTATTGTTATCAATGTTGCTGTTTGTTTCTAGGATTCGTCAAACTATTTTCGAGACACCTTGACGCGGATCCTAGATAACGAATATCTTCACACTGTCTCTTCGGACTAAGCAATATGTTAATAGTAATGAATAGGATAATCCTTTCTTTCTTATACAAATACATTGTATATAATACGCGATAACCTATCGATAACTCGACAATACTCACCGACACTTCTGCAACAGAACTGTTTACTGGTAAATTTTCAAATACATCTATAACTATATCATGTCCTGTTACGGAAGAGTTATCTTTTGATTGGATATTTACTTGCACAATACTACATCGCCTAGAAAATACGTTTGTTTAAAATAACATGGATTCCCAACTAGTTAGATGCCACACATGAACAAGTGCAACCCACTGATTTTGTGAGTGTAAATAATTTTTCAAATATGAATTTTAGCTTTTAAACTACAAATAAATAATAATCAATGGCAAGAAACGAGACAGATTGATAAAAGAAAGGAGTTGTTGGACCGTTAATATTAGATTGCAAATACATTTTTGTTTATAGATTGTTGTTAGAAATGATTAGATTGGCCGAAATGAACAATGAACAAACCTGAGAGATATGATAATTGGGTTGTCACAAGCCTCTACTAAGATAGAAGTAGGGAGTGTGGTTTGACGTTGAAGAGTTATTTCCCCTGTTATACTATTAATGCTGAAATCAGATGTTTGACTTTCAATTGAGTACCTGACCAATGCGTTTTCGTCTTTATCGGCATCTTCAGCGGATACCTAAATCATAAAGTTTTAAATGAATCAGAATGTGTATTACGTTATGAGGAAGTCTACATTCTGATAGATAATTACAAGGGGGACGTCATTAATCTCAATTGCTTACAGGCGTATTTTATACAGAATATAATCATATCTCCTGCAATACAATAAAAAATGACTTTTTAGACTTGTATTTAGGTTTCTGCCTTACTATAATATATTATAAAACTATAACGTGCTCATTCTCCAACAAAATGTAACAAATTAAGCTGATTATCGACAACTTGTCTCCGGGAAAACATACCTTTCCCACATGTTCACCAGGAACGTTATCTTCCACAGTAAATAGATAAGGTGAATCATTAAATATAGGATTGTTGTCGTTCACATCAATCAATGTAACGTTCAAGGTAACATTACAGTTGGGACAAGGCCCGTCGGAGACAACTTCGTTTTCAGGAATGGTTGAAATCTAAAAATCAATGAACGTATAGTATTATATAAATAAAAGACAAATCAACATTGATTTATGCGATTTATGGATTTTTAAAATAAATTATTCATACGCCAATAAATCAGGACCAGCGGAATATCCTTTAAACGAATTTAAAAATGATGTTATTTAAAATTGTTTATTACATTGTAATAATGCTGCTGTTGGAATAATATATATCTTATATTGAAGTTATAATACACTTATTATAAGATATCTGCGGTTGCATCCCTTTGGCAGTTGCGAGGATGGACTAGGATATTCCAGAAGAGAAAAAAACAGTTAAGCTTTGTGAACAAGAAGCTACAAAGTGTCTACGCCAATCTATTGCGTTTAAACTATTTTGAGAGAACCAAGAACTTTCAAATCTTATCTGAAATCCAAGAAAGCTAATTTAAACTCGTTTGTAATGTGGGTGGTTTTAATGGCAGGACAATACACCAATTCTCAAATAAGAGAAGGGGTCAAAAATCAGGTTTTATTTCTATTTCTTATTTGTTTAAATTTTGAGCAATGAAGAAATAGTCATTTCATTGATGCAGCAATAAAATTTGTAAAATGTGTAAATTAAGAATTATATTCATATCAAAGTAGATGTAAATAATTACTTTTAAAATCTATTTAACATATTCTGAGCGCTTGTGTTCCTTATCAGACTTAAATAAAAAATGGTACATTCCTCAGCAAAAAAAAAAAAAAAACAAAAAACAATTCGTTGCAAAATCACACCTGAAATGTCAATCTGTCATCTGTTTCACGATCCAACGCTGAAGAGTTGACCACTGATACGATTCCAGTTGCAGGATCCACGGTTAGAGCACCTTCACTTATGACATACCTAAATTTACTATTAATTCCCTACAAAGAGAAAATATGATATGAATTATATTATTTAGCTAGTTTACTTCAAATCTTGTGGTTAATTTACATTCATATGAAAAATATACTAACAATTTTAGCGGTATTGCAAAGTAGTTTGTGAGTCAAAATGATCCAATATTAATTTCCTTTGATTAGCCAACGATCTGTGACTCAAATCAATTTCTTCGTGAGAATTTTCACAATAAACGACAACTCTCAGCCGTCTCTATAATGTAAAGTACTAATGGGATTGGCAAATTCGATCTGAAGTCTGCAGCTGGAGCATTTTGAGTTGGTTAAAAGTTTTATGAAATGTGAAACAAAATGTAACTTGATTAGCCAAAACTAAAATTTGGTTTTATAAATTCTTAATCAAATTTTGCAATCAAGATGGAACCCTGTATACGATATGTATCTTTGACCACAAGTCAACAGAACGAACGCACGAAATGTGAAAGAGATTCACTACCACTATTGTTTAAAGCATAACCAATAGACTATACGCCAAGAATGACAGCAGCTATACAAGCTACTCTCCTAACCATCTTACTTACCAATATGCATGGAACTGGACAAATGGACTAACTATTTGGTAGTTAACTATCAACCAATTGCAACGAAATTCAAAGTTAGATTAGGATTTTCCGTTTACGAGTAGAAACCTAATCAATACTGATGTATTATTTAGTAGAATCTGATCTTACCACATCTGCATCAACGGCCTGGACGACCTTAATAAAACTTCCTGTTGCAAGGTTTTCCTGAATAGCAACTTGGATGAATGTCCTATTGAAGACGGCGTGATTATCATTAATATCGTCAACTATCAGATCCATTTTCGTTAAAGCAAATCTCTGTTCAGAATTAGTCTGAAAGGCCTGAAAAGATAAAAAGTTATATTTTCAGCGAATGGAAAGTCATAACAGTATTCTTGTCATTAAGGTGACAAAGGTATGCATTCTGTTCATTCTAGGGACTATTTCATATGTCTATATTTCAATTGCTAGACATGATTACCACACAGAATTAACTTTGCTTACATTAGATTTTATAGTACCAACATACCTTGATTTGAAAAGAATAACTGGCTTCATGCTCTCTGTCCAATTGTTTGCTAAGAGAAATAGCCCCAGTGACATCATTAATACTTATGAATTCTTTTTTATCTAAAGAAACAGATAAAGAATGATGAATGATGAATGATGACTAATTTCTGACTTGTAAAAATCATTAAAGTAAAATAAAGTAATTTAGTTTTTTAGTTGAACGGTTATAGGCCTTTTGTTTTTGTTTTTTGTTTATGTTTTTTTTTATCTGGTGGCCCCACACCACAACAAAATAAACGAATGAAAAAAAGAATAAAGATAGCCCACCAGCAGCTCTGATTGTAAGTACAAATCATTGTTTGTGAGCACGAGCCAAGTGTGAACGGCGGGCGACAATATGCTTCCATACCACGTGTGGAAATATAAAAATAAAAAAAATCTATAAAGACTAGTTTCTTGAAGAGTGAGCAAAAGATGCACTATATGGCTAATAGAATGAATACGGTGAGTTGGAAACGACATTTCGGTGAAAAATCATCAGATCATCACGAAAATCCAGAGGGATCATCTTCATAATGACATTGACCCACATGATAAAAAGAATCCAGAAAGAATCGTTGCCTGTAGAGTGAGCACAAGTTACACACTATAGCTAATAGAGTGAAAAACTAAGTCGGACACGATATTTCGATGGAAAATTATCAGATCATCACGAAAATCGAGAGGGATCATCCTTAAAGAATTATATCCTGTAGAGTGAGGACAAGCCCAATGTGATCGGACGGACGGGGTGATAACAATATACGCCGGTGTGCGTATAAAAATGAAATATGCTGAGCCATATAAATCCACTACTTACCAAGGAGAGTGTAATTGAGGGTCTGGTTTATTCCCAAGTCTTGGTCGTGGGCAAGTTCATGTGGTATGACTGTTAGTTCAACATTGACATAACTAGAGTTCTTGTAGAATAAAATAAACACGATATGTAGTAATGTAACGATGAAGGAGATAGGAAATGGCAAATAGAACATAGGCAATTCACAACTTGATATATTATATATGAATTTTTTAGTAACAGGCAGCAGCCACGGAGTACCGCTTTCACTTAATTTAAAGGGACATACTTCATTTTTTGCGCAATCATACTTTAGTCTCCGAAACGGAATTTGCTTAGCTCACCGTCTAAATTTGAGCCTTTAAATCAATGTGTGCCAATGCGTTTGCATGTTAAAATGACGACTCGTCAATTTAAGATACTCTGTGAGATATATAGAACCAAAATCCAATGCCGAAATGAAGACTCTAGAAGATCGATTCTATTTCCTTCTTGGAGATATTCTTTCATCTCATCTGTCAAACTACATAACATGTTAGTGCCGAAGCAAAGTAAAAGTATCTAGCTTACCGCCTGTGTTGGATCGTCAGGATCATTTTCAGCATTTAGTGTTAAATTGTACATATTATCGTCTGTCTCATAATCAATGACTCTATTTGTTACTATACTGCTACCGCTCAGTCTGAATATTCCCATTTGACTTCCCTATTGTAAAAGTATATTGGATACGTGAGTATTTTTCAAAATGATGATAAGGTAAATTTCGTGCAATAATATTTTACTTGAATATTCGGAAAATGAGAGTCTTTCTACTATATTTGTTGTATTAGTGGCGGAATCACACACGCGACATCAGTGGTTCAGTACAGATTTGATCTATTGGGAAATAATAATTTCGTTAAAACGAAGCCTTTACCCGCATTTTCTGTTAAGGTTGCAGTAATTGTTTTTGTAAAACCCGATTAAGTACTAGCTTATGTTCCTGGCCCTACATCAGTAGTGCCAAAACTATTCTGAATAGGCTGATCCGTTAACATGGTGACATACGATAATTCCATAACGCAATTTTGGCTTTCATAACATATATCTAGTTAAAACCCTTCAAGACTGTTTTGGTGTAGTACCAATTGCGTTTCTATCGATTTACATGTGCAAGATTTGACTGTGCCCCTCTCCCCTGGGAAATTGTGAGGCTTCTGCTTCCACCCACCCCCAAGAAATGCCAAAGTGTAGTACATTTTCACTGCTTTTCGTTTCTAGGTTATATTGGAAAACAAACAATGCTTGGTACATACGTGTAATTCAAGATTCAATCGATCATCGTCACAATCTTCATCATGCACATGATTCTTAAAATCTATATCTGTACCATTTGCATACTTCACTTTAGTTCCGATAGGTTCTTCCTTAAAAAAATGACCTAAACTGTTATCGTTTGATCACAATGAATCTGTTCTTTATAATGAACTCATCATCACAAAAAGACACATCTGTCCAGTTCATTTATACTTTAGAAGAAATTAAGTGTGTTACTTTCCCTTGTGGAAGGCGATTTGCGCTTATCAAGTTCGAAACCGTCGAATAAATTGTATTTAGATCAAGCAATCCTGTAAATAGAAGTAAACATATTACCTCCTTCAAGAACGAATAAAATTTCGGAAGGTCAAATTTCGGAGGGAACTCGTCGATAGGCTCAATAGTGAGTGGTAAAGAGTATGTCTGCAAAGAAATAAGAGAAAACTATGTCGTATTTGGTTTTCACTTGCCTAAACCTAAAACAAAGGGTGCCATGCATGCATTATGATGAATATTCAATCCTATCGGTCTGGCTGTACTTTGCATCTCAATCCAATGGGCTTCCCTAGTTTGGCGGGATTTCATCTTCTGCAAGTGCGTGATTTATTTTTTGAGATTCAATCATCATGTTGTTAAAAGACATTCTGCTGGACTTTCTTCGTAATTCTTTTGGAGATGGGTATACAGGTATATTTAGATACAATAATGAAAGTGATAATATGATTTTTTTGGTACCAGAATTTGGCACCTGTGCCCCAAATAATCAGACAAAAATATGCATTATGAACTTTTAAAGGTAGAAAGGCTAAAAATTATCTTCAATGCACATGTACTTTGAATATTGTTAATCGTAAAAGGCAATAATCAAGGCGGGGTGCAGCGTACTAGAGTGGTATTGAAATATATAGCTCGTGCATAGATAAAGTATTGTACACACTGACATCATTTTCTGGAACATTTCAACTACATCCGGGCAACAAAAATATAGCCCTCTATGTTTGTTTACATCACTCGATCAAGGGATTACTCGAATTTGCATCTCGGTAACAAAATTGATCGTTCTAAAAACATGGCAACTTCTCAACATGTAAACGAGAATGTCGGCGTGTACAGCATTCCACAGAGTTATGGCAAATATACCGTCACATCATTATTAAAACAATTTGTATTTTACTTTATATCTCTTCATTTAAATGTTGTACAAATTGCCTAGAGATTTAGTAAGAATAAATTTGTAATATTACCGGAACTTTACCAGTTTGTTTATCTGAACAATTATATTTTAAAACAATTGTTTTCCCATTACACAAAGCCTGAAATCAGAAAATATACAGTACTTATTGGCAATACGACATTTGCTAATAGGATATATATAGATACGATTGATTATTGATAAATAAAGTAACATTATTATTAATACAGTGAATAATTGTACGTAAATCAACGTAAGACAGGGAAGGAAATATTCTTCCCTATTCTGTAATTGATCAATGATTTGCGGCATTACTTCGTGTTTTGATAAGATTAATCTATACTGAACGGGTTAATTTTATAAATAACGAATTAAAAATGGTACTTGAGCATACAACAACCATCTCGGGAATATTTTTTCCCTACCACTTTTATGATGTCATAGAAGTACATTTGTGAATCAGTTGTAGCTATTTTATTTGATGTTATACGTTTCCAATTCGGAAATAGCTTTCCAAAATGAGACGTTCTTTATTCCACGGTACAAACCTGCGATCCGACATGCTTATGAACAGTATATGTACTGCCGAGAATTTAAACTGTGGACAACCATTGGTAGTCACGCTGGACAGTGTTTGAGATCTGACTAAATAGTCTTGAACTAATTAAAATGCTAAAGTTTTCACCCGATCTTGATGAAAATTGGTTTGCATGTATATATTGATGAATTCTTGGTCAAGTGTCAATTTGGTAATAATCGGGTGAATGGTTTCGGAGTTTCTGCCCTTGATTTGGTGAAAATGCGTAAAATTTGCCTTGCAGGCACGATAGAGGCTACATTGATATCTGATCTCGATGAAACTAGGTATACATGTACATTGTACATGTATGTATATATTGATCTTTTTCTAGTTTTAATCGGATGAAAAGTTTTTGCGTTATTGCTAGACACGATACGGGGAACAGTTTATGTCTGAAACCTTGTGTGAAGGTATATTTATGAGAAGTTGACCAAGTTTAAAAATGAAATAATTTAGATTTTAGTTTGATGGATTTGATAAAATTTGGTGTCAATGATTGTTATCACATAAGGATGAACTGTATTGAAAATCAGACATGCTTTTATAAACCCGTATTAACCGAAAGCCATCACAATGCGCTTTGTGGGTGTGGAAATGAGAATGGTGGTATAATGGTGGTAACAGAAATGAAGACTCGCTGCTTTCGTTTTGTTTACGATCGCGAACAAAGCGTCTTAAACGAGTGATTTGATTGGCCGATATTTCACTAGAAAGATGTCATTGCCAATTGCGACTGGACAAGATTTATTACGTGATACTATTGTATCTAATTGGACGTGGTAAAAAGGCCAATAATTGCCAAAATAAACTTACATTGTACGTTTTAGTTCAATTGTTGGAAAATGTGAATGAAGGTTTGAGAGAATATCACTTAAATAGGTGAAATCTCGACCCCAGTTATTGCTATACGATGATCCACAGAATCGTCCCACTTATCTCTTTGATGAAAGTTATATATATATATTTTTAAACTTGTAAGTGAGTTTTGAACTAAGTAACAAGTAAAATTGTATTGATTAATGTATCAGTATCACCCTTTGCTTGTGCTACTACGGAAATAAACTAACCTCATCTTCTTCTAAATCCGGCGTTTCGTTGATTAATAGACGTGTGTCATTGAAGACGAAATATATCTTCTTCATGGATGGTTCCATTATTTTGCATTCTCCTCCCTCTTTTGTGTGGTTAAAAATAACTTCACCTGAAATGCATGTATACATTATTTTTCCACAGACAGCAAAGATAGCTTTGACAATATTAATCAGATAACAAACTGATTGTATGCATCACTATTTTGCTTTTTGGGTTTAATTCAAAGTGGCATGAAATGTGGTGGCCCGCTTTAAGGAAGGATCATCCTAATTTCCAAATTGTACCTTTTGTTATTCAATACAACAACACAGCTGGTCAAGTTCCCCGAATAATTATCCGTCATTACAAAGAATTGCAGGAAAAATTTCCAACAGACTTTACAAATGATTTAGTTATCGCCGTGGTAGATTACCCCCCATCCCCCTTCCATAGGTTTAGTACATTTCCTTTAATTAATATTTCTTATTTATGATAACTTACAATTGAAGAGTTTCCTCGCAAAAATATCATACATGTACACTATTTTCACTTAATAAATTATATATATTTTTTATATGAAATACGCATTTTCCTTTTCATTTAATATAGGACAATTCCTCAGTTTAACCAGTGAAAATGTTTATTATGATTTCCATGGTTATTAATGTTCCTGTTGGAACCAGTATTCTTCTTATACATTTCAGATTCGGAAGATAATGGATTTGCATTTCAAATATTCTATATCATTCTTTTAAACTAACTTCACAAACATTGCTCTATCACTAGAGGTTACGCCTACATACCTGTGCCTGTGCTTTCGTAACATTGCTTAACCGCAATGTTACAACCTAAAATTCCTAATTTCTCTTGGCACTTTTAATCTTAAGCCCTTGAGTGTATAATGTCATACACAAGGAGTATATATTAATCTTTACTCAAAGGTCACATCTAATATTGATGAAGACAAATCATGTGCGAGAGCATCTTACAAACAACATATTCAGCACCGTATGAAAGTTGGGACCACATTACCAAGTTCAAAGTCAAAGATTGACATTGATGATGAGAAGAGTTGTTGCTTTCATTAATGCACAATGATTTACTATGCGCCATATAAAATGAAACGTTTCTCTCTCCCAGTGGTGATTTTCGTGTTATTAGTTTTGTGACTTTCAGACGACATCGTTATGTAATGGTCATTTCGTAAACTAATGCAAACATTCTTTTGTTATAAAATGCCGTATTAAAATACAATATAATACTACATGTGTCTGGTATTTGTTCTCTAAAAATGTGTAGCTTAATTGGTTGCAAGCAGTTATATAAAATATATTCGGATAGATTTAAATTGTACATAAGAAAACAGATATGATATGATTTTATATGATTGTGCAGGTTTCAATGGCTCTTTACTTCAAATGGATTTTGCAGGTTTATCATGGGTGTTTCTGACTAATGTCATGTTGTAAAATATCTCATCCATGTTACCGATTCATTTTTCATTTTCAGTTAACCTTTCCACATCAAAAAACGATGTCAGAAATGATTCACGTACCTGGTTTTGCATTTTCGGATATTGTCAGAGTAGCTTTGATAGAAGTTGGACAGCAAAACAAGCCTATAATGTAAAAAAAGTAATTTCAATATGTACATGAACTATGAATTAATAGTTATAAAAAAAACACTACACTGTATTAAAGAATACTATTAATTCAAAAATCAATGTCTATTTGGATTGAAAGTAACCTACCAAGAAAAATGGCATATAGTAGTAACATCTTTTGCTATCTTTTTATGTTATTTTCTCAACATTTCCTGCAATAATAAAAGTTGTGCATATTATCATCATAATTGGAAAAGTTTTATATTCTTATTATATATTAGTTTTAAATGTATTTTCAGTATTAAAACAGAACTTGAATCATGTATTACTTTATAATATCAAGATCGTTGCAGATCGACGTGATTATTATATGGAAGATTTCGTATAATTACTATGTTCACAATTAAAACACAGCCATATGTCTGAACAAACAAATAAAGACAACTTAAAAGCTCGTTGGAAATCCTAAAAATGAACCTTTCAAGATAATCAGGTCATGAGCCGAATTTTTGTTTGTTTCTTTGCGGCTATAACAGAAGCAGACTTCGGACACTTATAAAAGTCTGGCAAGGTAATATACGCCCACTGGCAGCATTGTTTATAAGAATATTTGGCAGTACAGTCACAATCAATATGTAACCATGTAAATAAATTGACCTCGTTCTTCAAATCGCCTTCGATCTTTAGCTCGCAGGTAAAAATAATTTTACCGGAACTCTTTCAATATTGTCACGTGATCACGTGATTTTGGTAATTTAAATACAAGAGGCTGGTTGTTCATGACTTCAAGTGTTTGTAAACAAAGTCAATGAAACACAAAACTTCGTAAGATACGGATCCAAAATGATAATAAAATGTATAAATTGGTTAACCAATAATCACAATATAGCATTAAATGCCTATGCATGTGTCAGAGTTATCTCCCAAAGTCTCTAAATTAAAGGACTATATATAAGGCGCAATATTACTATCGATTGACAAATCACTGCTAAATACTGAAAGAAAAGAGTCTCGCCCAAGAAGACACTATTCATTACTGAATCAGATTTAGATTTACGAAAACTTCCGAGGATCCTAAGTGTCTTGAAGGCACAATTCTTGTGATTTGGACTTAATTTCGTGAAATATGAGGTATCATAATATGCCCTTGTGCTTCAAATTTGAACTAGGTTATACATATATGACAAAACATTGAGAAATTGTTCATTATTACCCAAGGATAAATCTTTTAAGCATGTAACTTGCTTCAATTCTACAGCAAAAACTAGAATACAATTTGATATAACAAGATAAATAAAGAGTCAACACATTTTGAAGAATACAAATATTTGATTTATGAATGTATTACTTTTTCCAAGATTCAATAAGATTTTGTTAATGACTTAATGTTCAATATTTCCTACTGGTAATAGTTTCTCTCTACCAAATGTCAAAATTTTAACAAAGCTACCGACCATGACCAGCTATCTATAAAACATAATATAACTTGTTTTACACTGGTTGTGTTAATATTTTATTACATTTTTCTCAACCAGTTTAGATTGGTTGAAAGATAACAAGTTACTATTCAACAGAAAACATTGGCACAGGGTAAATACATATAGAAATATCGCAACAGAAATCGAAACATATTGTTACAAGTATATTTTCGGAGACAAATTTGTGTCTAACAACCTTAGATATTATTATCAATTATAATTACAGATAGTTGTGAAACTAATTATAATCTCGAATAAATGTTTTTTGAAAACCATGGCATGAATTGCTGTTGACATATTTAAAGTCACCTTGTCTGTTGGATTTAAGGCGTCCTTTACATTAACTTGTTTATTGACATCATAAATAATACTCATATTATGGGTATTTGGGCAATAATTATACACGTTAAACTTTATCTATGCTAATATAAATCACAATCGGTTTGACTATTTCGGTTATATTGACATATTGGGGTTATTGATTTGGCGTATTTAGATTTCGGGGAAGGGAGGGTTTGATTTCAAGCTACAGTGATAATCATTTTTGTCCTCCTCGTGCTTTAATGAACATATACATCTTTATTTGAAACTTTAATTAAACACCCTCATCTTACATTCAGGTGGAAGATAGCTCTTTGCCCTTTCCGTTTAAATACGAATTTAACATTTTCTGTATCTTATCTTTCATGTTTTGGCCTTTGTTCTTCCTGAATAAATAAGTCGGTGATATGTTTTACATATATGATACAGTTCAAAGTACAAAATAATAAAGACGTCAGCTGTAAAGTCAAGACTATAAACCACTTTTTACAGGCATTTTTAATATTTATATTTAGACTATACACAAGCTTCTGAACAGTCTTAATTAATTTAGCCCCACTGTTGACACGTTAGTTTATCGCTTGCTAGAACGACAACACAAGATTACTTTTTGCTATAGTAATAGTCTGATTTACTGTGTATCTTAGACTCTTTGGCATCTTCAGGAAATGGTTCATCAATGTAATTTTCAATCTTCCACAATTAAAGACTCAGAAGACTTAAGTTTTGACGGTTAGCTTTGAACGCTATTACTGATAAGCTTAGCTAGACTATTCCTGTTTCTCTTAATATGGTAAACCATGACCCTTTAGACTGGACTGGACTGGAATTTGGAGACCGTTCTATTTATCTCTCAAACGTAAATGAAGGACAATTTCTTATCTTCAATCTAATAACGCACCCACGGTCATCGCACTGTGTCTTGTAATATGAATTTTGCCCACAATTTTTACTTTATCTGTAACATCAGCATCAATATAGAAATGGCAACACATAGGCACACATTATCATTGGAATTTGTTTCGTTCTTTTGGTTCTACAGAGGTCGATTTTGGCTGAAATGTTCAAGACTGAAGTTTGTACATATACACAACTTTTAATTTCCAAGCCATTCTAAGACAATTATGTGCTGTTTTTTTAAGGTTGATGTTCCAATCATATAAAAATAATTGATTAACTTTAAAGGGGCCTTTTTTTCTTTGTAAATCATTTTCATTGTCAAAAACGTCGTAAATTATACCTTAAAATATTTCTACAGTATGCTATTTTATCTATGTATCAACCTGATCCAAGGAATTTGTTTTCAAAGGGTTAATTAAAAACTGAGAGTACTAGTTGTTAATTAAGCAATTTGACCTAGTTTTGGTGATTGGCTCTGTAATGGCTCGTTATATTCAGTTTTACTCAAATCCATACAGTAGTTTTCTAACAGCTTGCAAATAGCATAACGAACTTTAAAAGGATTCGTAAAGTTTAAAAAAATAAAGGCTGGATTTTTTTAGTTCAAACTTTCAGATACGTATTGGGATACATTTCTATTGATTTTGGTTTATAATTTTTGACATATTTGAGCAGAAAACTTTTTCGACCTACACAAATAAGGGAATGTCCTTTTAAGTAGGAGTTTTTGAACGTCCAGTCTTTCATTCACATCATTGTGTACACCGGCATAGAAATAGAAGCCTTATGCCAAAATGAAATTTTAAATGTGCTTTATGGTTATATTAATTTTCAAATGAAATGAAGTCATTACCGTACTATACTTTACTATTACTTTACTTGTTCACGTATTACCTCTGGAAATATATTAAAACGAGATGCTTAATGGTAATCCCTGACAAGTTCAACAGTTTTAAAGAAAACACTATCCACAAATTTCGTAATCCATAGTTCAAAATTTTTACACGCACACAAACACCACAAGTACTAACGTTTACAAATAACACTATCGAATATTAAATCTAAAATGTTTGTTTTAGCTCTATCATAGAGTAATTTAGATCCCTCTCAGTATAACATACCTTCCTGGTAGTGGTGTAATCTTTATCAGAGGATGATGCGATGTCACGATTTGGTACACCCAACACCTTATTAAGTTTTACGCATACGTCAATTTATGGTAATGAAAAGTGTTTTTCCTCGAAATATTTATCAGAAAATTGATCCGTTGCGCAGAGATTAGTCGTTATCAGCTACCCAGCGAATAAACATTTTGACTAAGTGTATGTCTCATAATTTGTTCTAGTTTTCTTATCTTTCAAAGGATTTTATGACCCGGCTTATCACTAAAACATATTGATATAACTGTATATTTTATGAAGGCTTATTATATATGTTGATTATTGAAACCCGATTCGATATAATAATGTGTATAAGTTATTCTCAACAGTATAAGGTTTTGTTTATCAGAGAGTCGACTAGACACCAATGCTTCCTCCATTCCTTTGTGATAAAATATACAATCTTTTCAGAGAAGGTAGAATCTCTTGGGCTTTGGATGAACATTCTTAAAATGCTTGATGTAACATGTAATTTTGGATATGTGGATATGGAACAGGTCTAAGAAAAAAATAGTTAAATATAGTCAGAGGCAATCAACAACCTTGCCATGCCTTTTGTGATCCACATTTGTATTATTCACGATCCTATTGCAATTCAATGAGATCACTTCTTCTATTAACACCAGGTAGTTTCGCCCAAATGATGTCTCAAAATTAGTGAGAACATTGGTTGAATTAGATGCACAAAGGTTAATTGTCAGAATAAATTAATCAGTAATCTGATTTATGATATTGTGCATAGGTCGATTGAAATGTAAAATTGATAACTATTTATGGCGTGTAATGCAATTTCCATAAAATCCATGTTATCACGTTTGATTTATCATAGAAAAGATGGGTGTAGCTTGTTGTTGATAATATCAGTTTAACAAGTGCCTATCTGATAAGACACAGCCAACTTAAAATTGAAGTACTGAACACAAAAAAAGATAAACGGAGGGAAGCAATCCAACATTAAATTCTACGTAGAATTCAAATGCATACTAAAATCAATCAGTGGGCCTTATTTGTGTTATATAATGCCAGACCCAATGTAAAATAACGAAGATGATCAACAAAATTAAACTATCTAGACGACCGAGAACACCAGTAGCTTCTCTTTCAATTTTAAATAAAGTATCTGTACAATCCAGAATCGTTACGCTTGCTAGGCCTGTACATTTGGCCAAACCCTCAATTCAGAAAAAAATGGATGTTGTATGGCGTATTAAGGTCCATCACGAGTTTCAAAAATCAACAACTCGTTTGAGAATCGTTAAAAAAAACAGATCTCATTCGTGGGCCCATAGGGATAATGTGAATATGTAAAGCTCGAGAATTTATTCCGCATGTTCTCGTTTGTTTCCGTGAACCTGCTCAAAGTTCAAAGAGAAAATTTCACGTGCATAATACTTGCGCACATGCTCATGCGTACTGCATCCTGACACAGAGGTTAGTAATACTATTGTGACTATTTTACTTGTCATTTACCTACTCCGACTTCTAGGATTGATTCATTTTTATGTTACTTCTTAATGTTTCCAATGTTAGATATAGCCAAATCAACAACAAAGAATTTATTTGACACTTATTCAGATATGCCTTGTCCCAGCCAAATAATACGATCTGATAAAATAGATAATGGATATAGGTGATTGATCAAGGAAGCATAAAGTTCGTTTAGCTTGATAACGATACCGAGTAATATTTAAAATATATTGTTATTGTTGTAAGGCAGGATGTGGAATCTACGGCTAAAAAGATTCTAATGTTTATAGATGAGCACCAACCAAATTTAATTCGATCAAATTTCGTTGAATTTGAATATTTAAGTGTGATTCTGAATTCGTTTGAGGGTTGCATAAGAAATTATAAAAGAAAGGTTTCTAAAGCTTTCGATTATATTGATGTTATTTTATTTTCGTTGAAATGAAACGGGTTCTTGTTAGAAAATACGCAAGTTCTATAGGTAAGATTATTCTCATGAGTGTTTTTTGAATCTCTTTTGTCAATTGCTATATTGTTTGAAAATTTCCAAATACTAAGTGTAATCCCGTTTCGTGAATAATGAACAGAATGGGTGGCTAATTAATGAGCTGTTTAACGGTAAAGCAAAATGTAAATGAATCCGCAATTTTTAGATAGAAATGCCGCCATCTTGTAAGGGGAGATAACGTAATCGTGGTCTAGTGATATATTGGTTACAAATTCTCTTGCCGGGCTACGTCATTTCATGTTACCTTTTTCTAGATTTGCAGGAACCACAGGCATTGGACGAATTATTGGAATGTCCCAAATAGATGTCACATTTACCCCCGATACACATAAAAAAAACAATTAGGATTATTTTGTTGTCTTTTTGTCTTAACCGAACTTTCGGTTGGTTATGTTCATTATCTTTTCAAGTGGCTGGGAAATTGAATCAGGAACTTTGATACGAAAAGGCTGGTTTTGGGGATATTTCACACAATTTGAAACACATCATAATTTCATGATTAATAAAACGACATTCTCGTTTTCTCCAAATATACTATACTCTGCGTAATCCGACATACACAGGGACTGCAAAACAATGTCGGATTAGCGAGAGCGTCGGAGTACTGAGATTTCGGGGCAGTCATCTTGGGCATCTTATTCAAACATGTTTTGAGAGTTTACATCAACTCGTTCACTACTGTTGACGATATACATATCTTGTTTTGGACCTTTTTTCTTCATGACTATGAGAGTATCCTTCAATACCTTACCCCATGTTTCAGGTAGAGTTAAAATTGAACATGTATCAATTGTCATTAAAATACAAATGATAATATAAGGGAAGTAACCTCCCTTGAACGCCTGAAATACAAAAAAAAAAAAGAATTTTTGACGCGAAAATTGAAAGAATAGTTCGAAATTATTATCATCAATCCAAAATTCAATACTATATTGAATATACTGACAAATAATTGATGAAAACGGATTAACAAACTACTGTGATTCTCGAAGTCTCAATTTCTGGCGGCGAATCCCAGAGCAACTAAACACATGGAGTTGGTAGAAATTTAAAAAAAATAGCAACTGACGACGTTTTTTATTAAATCGTTGGTGATTAGTCGTAAGTTGCTAGCAGTTTGTCGAACCTAGTTGCTCTTAGATTCTGCCAGTGGCAAGGTCGGCCTGAACCCCCTTTTGGATTTCATACGTTTCATTACTTTTGATACAACTTAGTATACATGTATATGATAATGTCGATTGAATAATACTCAAAACATTATCACTTCACCCTTTGTTTTCATTTTCTGATATAAGAAGATAGGTTTCCAGGCAAGATAACATACGCCCACTGCCAGCTGTCAGAAATGATAACAAAGTCTAAGTGGCTTGAAAATGAATTTTCTCAAAGCAATATCTCAAAAACAGTTTATCAACAAATTCAAACATGAACAAGGGTTCATCAACATACACATATATCTTAAATTTCATCAAAATTGGATTAATACTATAGTCTAAATTATCTTTTTAGATCAAATTTGTCGCCCTTTAATAGTCAATGGAAATTCCTAAAAAAAAAATTGTCAATTTCTATCTTGACTAAGATATCATCAATGTATGTAGGCATAACAAGTTTCCAAGAGATTGTATAATTGTTGTCTCTAACCTATTTTCAAACCCATTTTGACAAGGGCAATAACTTAAAAACCAAAATCTTAATATTTTCAGTTTCAAACTTGATCAAGAATATACCTTCACATCAGGTTTCAAACCATTCATTTGATTATTACAAAATTCGAACTTAACCGAGACCTCGCCAATATATACATGCATACCAAGTTTCATTAACATAGGATAAAAAGTGTAGACTCTATCGTGCCTAACAAGCCAAATCAGGCGGGTTTTTACGAAGTCAAGGGCAAAAACTCTGACATCTTTCATCTGATTATTAACAATTTCGAATTAAACCGAGATCTCATCAATGTAAAAACTGCAGCCTCTATCGCGCCTGTAAGCCTTATTTGATGAGTCAAGGGCGATAACTCCAAAATAGTTCATCCGATTATTTCCAAATCCGAACTTGACCGAGATATCTTCACTATATACATACATTCCACGTTTCATTAAAATTAGATAAAGACGGTAGCCTCTGTTGTGTCTACAGTTAATGTGGACTGGCGGGGCGACGGCAATATAAGCCCACGTGGAAATGTAGACGTATACATTGCAAAGACGTATATTGCAAAGAGATAAATTCAAATTCAAAATAGACTAACCAAGGGTAAAAAAAGCTTAATACAATATAATTTTATTATTAGATCCTATGATTGATGATTTGCATTGTAAATGCTTTTAAAATAACTCATAGTAATTGGGAATTATATAGCCGATTGCAGGGGAAAATAGTTCGATATTTAACACTTACCAATGACATGACTTGAGTAGCCAAAATACTACCAACTCTAGTCACTGTAGCAGCACAGCCAAATCCTAAATTTCTGGAAAAAGTAAACGGGCGATATCATATCAAGTCATATCAACAAATAAAATCAACGAAAAATTCTTAAATCAAAAATGTGAATTTCTTTTTTATATGAGCTTTGAATATATTTCTGTCCTTTTCGAGGGGAGAGATAACTACTTTTATCTCATATTTATACAGATCTGATGCTAATAAAGTCAAACTTGTTTTCTTGGATCGAATAACTTGACACGAACAAAATTGGTACGTCTTAGATCTCTAAAGTGGAAGTTCTATTTAATCTGAATAACTAAAAAAAATCAGATATTACGTCTGATGTCTGATGTATGAAATAGTAAAATGTGTAGCTTGGTGACCGCATATCCAAATTATTGATTGACAAACAGCTCCATAAACACGTCGAAGATAGAGTGGCAATATAGGTAAAGAATTTATATAATCGAGTCCAATGGTACACTTTATTAACCAAGCCTTGAAAAAATAATAAGATTTGCTGTATATTACTTAAATAAATAGAGGACAGGGCCTAAGTAACCAGATGTTGTTAGTTCCCCTATATCATAACATAATATTACATATAACATATACATGAAAAAAAAAAGAATTACCTCACAACGGTTGGGTACAATTCCGACTTAAACGATGTCATGCTGACCCAACCACTTACTTTGGCAAATTTCGCAACATTACACAAATATTAACGTAATATCCCTTTGAACTCTCTGGGGCTGTAATACATCAAGTTAAGTGTGTTTTTCTAATATAATTTATTATAACTTATACATTTACAAATGTGTTAACTTCCATACAGACTTCCAATTTTTGTTGTAATGAAACCAAAGATTGGTCCAGATATTCTGACAAAAACAAGGCAGTTGACAAAGTTCACAAAAGCCATGCAAAAGAAAATGGTGCATTTACAACAATTCAATTCCAAATGGTCTCAATTTGAAACATATGAATGTAGTTTGAAACACTACACAGATACTAAATATGAGTAATTCCATACAGTAACGCATTTATGAAAGTCACTCCTCTGAGCTAGGCAGGAGGTTGATATTTCATGTTTCATATTTGATCTGATGGCTCAATATTTTCTTTAGGTCAGGCGGAAACATGGATACCTAATTTCAAGAATTTTTATAACTACACCTTTTCATCAAGCAATTATTTTGATGGTGGATGTTCATCGAAAACTACCAAACCACCCATTAGGGAAAGCTTAAATATTTTACGCACTCGTTTTTCAATCAAAAAAGCCTATGACGAAGCATTTCTTGGATGACCATTCATTAGAAGATCTTAATCGTACCCCTCTTCATCACACACAGAAATCGATTTACCAATGTGAAATAAGGCTGAATATTCGCAAGCTCCAGTTAAATGCTACAGATAATCGAGTAAGAGAAATAGTTTAAACCAATTTCTAAAGACTAAAAGATAAATTCTCTCATGTCTTTAAGCAAATGATGAAGTAGCACATAGCAGTAAACCAGAACGTAAATGACAACATTGTCTATAACAAATCAGGTCGAATCAGTACATAACAAACAAAAGCTAATTACAGATCAAACGAAATGCTGTTTTAGTAAGCCAATAAGTATCTGAAATATCGCTTACTAGTCAAGCTTGCCGACGAAGACGTGGCTAGAGGCTAAAGAATAATCCTCCTTGTTACACAAGCAGTCTTCTCCCCATAGTGTCTTCAATACAACTGCTGACCAAGACCAAAGTTTGCTACACTTAATACTTAACAAGGAACTTCAACATTTTTTTGTTACTACATTGCCAAATTGTGCATCATTGATCCCTTATCTATAGACCTTACCACATTATTTCAACAAGTAAATCGAGATTACCTGATGAGACCACCCTCGAAAGCCATTGTTGTATCATGGCGAGATAACAAAAAAACCTACAAGCATGGGCCTACCAAGTTTCAATAAATCGAAATAATCTTAAGACACCCGGATCCGGACACTTGCGGAATTCATTGCTTATGTCAATCACTTGTCAACAACCAATCGAACTCGCCCAGCATATCACCATTATATGCCTACATAATCAGGGGCAAAATGTGAAATAAGAGTAGAAACGAGACTCTATGATGAGGAACTATTCAACGGCTTGCAGCTACAACCAGAAACAAGCTTTTACCAACCATGCATAATAATATGCATAACTATTATCAGAAATACGAAAAATATGCCATATAAATTTGATATGTCCGACAAAGTTTAACGTTTACTCGCTAACAATCAGATTTCTCAAATAAGTTTGTTGAAAAGAACAATTATTACTGTTATCAGATTTATTTGTCACTTTACAAATAATCAGAATACAAATTTTGATTTTAAATATCTTCCGTGACTTTTGTACCGAAAATGATATTTTTGATGGAGATTTCATTAATCTAAATGAAAAATTCGCAGGACATGTACACTTGAAAAAGAACCACCACAAATATTAAAATTGTTACCACTGTTTGCTTCACACGTTAGAAGCTATAGCGTAATGCAATAATGTTTTCTTTCTGATAAATTTATTTCATTTTTTTCGTTCAACCATGGGTGATTACTAACTCTCACACCAAGTATCGTCAAGAGAAACTAGCTCTCTCTATAAAAATGTATAGTTCTTGTGTAACATTTGGGAGATGTTCAGTTCCCGTACTCAAAACCTTATCTTTTCTATAATATATTTTATTTATATATGCCAAACCATGCAACAAGCATCTAACATTAAAATTTGTTACCTGTCAATCCATAATAGAACAATCAATGAGGCAGGAATTTCGATGTCTGATACTAAAAAAAAGTTGTGATAAAAATTACCAGACATATTCTGAACACCAAGTTCTAAACACCAGTATACCACTGCTGTCGTAAACCTGTAATATATTGACAGGATGAATAGATTCTAATAAAAAGAATTCCAAATGGTCGTAAGTCGCTCAAATTTTAAAGTCGCGTCTCACATACTCCAGTCACAATTCCAGTGCATAATGTCTTCCTACAGATGTTTAACATCTTCGTAAGGCGACGTTAGGAACATTGTATACTTATGCAATTGTGGAGTCTTTTTTTTAAAAAAAAAAATAGCAGATTTCAGACTACGAAACGAAACAGTTTCAATTTGGCCCAATTTTTTGTGACAACAATATTATGGAATCACAGATTTTTTATAAATGAAACGAAATAACTGTCGGTAACTAAAATTCAAACCTTTAAGGTAAATTTGGTGAGTAGATTCTGGATCTTGCCTCAGTAGTAGGTTGGGCCTATATTGTTTTTAAAAGATCTGCAGTGCAGTGAAGGGAAGTAACTCTGAAGTCGTCATGATCGTAAAATTCTATTTTTTTATGTGCTCCATTTTATTTTTCGCGTTGTATTAAAGTTGTTTGGATCATGCTGTTTTTTAGAGCAAGAAATGTAAAAGGCTATTGATTTGTTTCCATAATGTTGACGTCACCAAAATATTTCGTTTTATAGTAAGGAATCTGCTATCCTTAAAATAAACAATAATAATTTTAGCGCTAATTTTTTTCTTTGACCGGTTGGTATTTTAAACCCATCCTTACTTGGTTCAAACGCTCGAAGAGAAATTTGAAAGTGATAACTTTGGCCAACAGTATGGGCATCGTAACTAAACTAACAGAATGCTATTAAGCTAAAGAATAAAGATGGCCCAAAACGTTTTCCGGGGTGTATATATACCATTATAGAGGTTTTTTTTCTTTTTGTGTGAATACTAACCCAGAGTACCACAATCTTAAGCGAGTCTTTTACAACGCAATAAATCTATGAACGAATAGCCGTATAAATTGCTATTTAAGGTACGTTCTTCTTCAGCAATCATAACTACAATTGCCGTATCAGGTGGCGTTTTGTTATTTCTTTTGGCAATACGTCGAGCCACTTTAGACGCTTCTTCTGTTCTTCCTTTGACAGCTAACCAACGTATACTTTCTGGTACAATACTAAAAGTTATATACACATTGGATTACTCATTGGCAAATATCGTTTAATACGTAACAGCAAAAAATAATAATACTGAACACACAAAGAAACATTGCTTTTTGATTATTATGACCTAATCCTGCATGATCAAAATAGTTATTTTGTTTTGTAAATATGATTTTAAAACTTTAAAAAGACCGATACAACTGATCGATTGCATTCGGTGTAAATGTTGTGAGAGGCCTGCGAGAGCAAGTTGCTAGTGATTCACTATTAGCCGCCCACGCAATTGTCGTCCCCGAATTACAACACCAAGATATGATCGCCTCATCCTGTGGCAAAATTTGTGCAAAATCAGTGCTGATACTGTCCGAAATCGAGTCGTCTCCCAGTTCAGCAACGTCTTTGGGTGGGCCACCCAACGACCAAATTAGCGGCATTAGCATTGGAGGACCCACGTGTTCTCTGATCAGAGTCGGTATTGCATTTCCTCCGCCAGATGACAGAGTATGGTTGAAAGAGACCCGTAGGCTTACCAAGTATCATGGTATGTGGTGCAACGGGAATCAATCAGAAACTTGGACCTGTTATCTTCCAAAATATTAACCTAGAAGAGGCCATGGAGTCGAGGCGCCCGTTACATCGACCTGGTTCTCTGAACCAATTACCAAGACTCCAAAACCACACCTTTCATGAGAATGAGCATGAGAACGCCCGTCCATACATTGCCAAAGACACCAGGACCTTCTTCCACCAGCATAACATTGGAGTAATGCCTTGGTTCTCACTCAGTCCGGATTTAAAACCGACAGAACGCCTGTGGGGTGGTATCAAAAGATGTCTTCACCAGATCTAACGGCAAAACTCAGCTCTGGGTCTGAAAAGCAGATACCAATCTCATCTGTAAAGTGTTACCTGTTTGTCCACTCCATCTCCAAAAGATGCTGGGCCGTTATCAACGCACAAGATGGGCACACCAGGTACTCCTCCATCTTTGAAGATCACGCTATTAGCCCATTGCAATGTAAGACACTCAAACTTTTCTGTTAAAGGTATTTTTCACAATTGTCTTTTGCTTTAGTGACACCTGAATACAAAGATCACTACTTCCTGTACTTTTCGACGTTCCTTTATCTGGTCAGTAAAGATATCGTAATAGTGACTTCATAATCTGCTTTTCAATGTTTTAAGAAGTGATAATTTTACCTAATGATATATATTGCATCGATACGAAAATCATATACTTACAGAAAACCTAGTAAAACGGGAATATGAATCACACAAATAAAATATTCAAAATGGCGGCAATTAGGAAAGAGGTAGGTAACAAGGCAACAAATGGAGCAGTTGCCGACCACACTGGAAGTGCACTTATTAATGCCCTCCATCTTTTACCGACGAATTCTATAGAGGCAGGGAAGCCAACTATCGTTACAGAGCCGCCCGTCACTCCGATTGCAAACCGCACAGCAGCCAAAAGTTGCCAAGAGTTAGAGAAGGCACTAACAGCCACAAAGACGGCATGCATTAATAACATTGTATATAGACTGGTCTTCCGTCCAAATCTATCACCTAAATGGCCAACAATAAAACCTCCTATTAGGGCACCTGTCATCTGGACTGTTGTTATTGTAAAGCTGATCCATCGATTCTTACATACCAGATCCCACTGAAATCAAACCAAATTACATGGATATATTAAAGATGCTTGATTAACATTTCAAAACCGTAACTTGGGAACAGCAAAGACGATGAGCTTTCTGTGACACTGAGAAAATCAGAATTGCACCAATTCGTATTGGATCTGGCAAATGAGACGAATATGGTCGTCATTGTGCCTTCTGGAGTGTTTACGAGCTAAAAATTGAACGCGTGTTCAAGAACAAAGGCAATAACTCTTACTAATTATTTTTCGTTTTTTTTATTTTCAATACGGTTCATCCTGGGGTGATAGCAAACACTCACCTAAAGTTTCATCAAAATCCGTAAAGAATTGCACCTTTTAGAGTGTTAACGAGAATTTCAAGGACAACGACAATAACTTATACTAAATATTTTTTTTATTTTCAATAGGGTTCATCCTTGGGTGATTACAAACAATCATACTAAGTTTCGTCAAAATCAGTCAAGAATTGAGCCTTTACAGTGTTTACGAGCAATTGTGCACGTACATAAGTGACGACATTTCATGTGGCCGTATAAAAATATTTTGTGGTCTTCAATTTTACTCAGAAAATTATCAACTTATTCAAAAAAACTTCACAAACGGAGTGAAAAAGAGTTTCTTAGAAATTTAATTTTCTGCACTATAGCTGTCCTATCCAAACGACTAGACGCTTTCCATGTCAGAAATTTACTCAATATTAAATATTTGTCAAAATCACAAGATTTGAGAATAAAATTGTACTTCTGGCCTAGGGGCTTGTTGTCTTTTAAGTTTACAGAAGCTTAATGGCCAAACAACCCCCGGATACAAATTTGTGGATTTTGGATTTGTGGAAGTTCTGAAATTTAAATGTAACATTGTAATTGGAAAAGTGGAATTCGAAGAAAATCTGGCGACTCATACCTCATTTACGATGGTCCATTTACTCATATCATACTCTCGATCACACACCGATATGTTATTAATACACACATTTAGGCTTGTATTGTTGTAGTCGTTAGTAATATTGTTGCCACCATAACTGCACCAAAAGTCAAGAATGAAGCCAGTAAATGCCATTTCCAACATCGTAAAAGTAGCTGATATTTTGGTGAATAAATAACAGGCGACGATGACTCCTTGGTACCAACCACAGTCTCCGATTTCCATCAATAAGTTAACCATCACATGCATTTTGAAAAGTATAAAGTCTTTCTCCTTACATATCATATCGTCATGGATATTTGGATGTGTATATTGTCATTTTCAGCCCTGCGTTCAGTTATCTCGTTTTTCCTCTCGTCTCCAGACACCTGTTAACAGGTGGCACATATTATCAATTGTAACAGGAAATCGATGTGTCAACAAAAGATAGCTTGCGCTGCAAGGTAACATACGCCCACTGGCAGCTGTCAGAAATAATAAAACAGTCTTTAGTGACTAAAGTACGACTTTTCTCATATTGAAGAAATTATTTATGCTGAATAATTCCACAAAATTTTTTAAAATCAATGTCAATAACCCAAATACAACAAACAATCAAGTCACACAGCTCTAATCAAGGGCAAAAAACAACTTTTGACGCGTGTTTACAAAGTCAAGGGCAATAACTAAAAAAATGTTCATCAAAAATATCTCTTGTTAGAACTTGTCCGAGATCTTATCAATTCCAATGATCACACCAAGTTTCATCAAAATCGGTTAAAAACTGTAGTTTCTATTGTGCTTACAAACAAATTTTGTAAAAACCGTTCATCGAAAATGCGTCAAGTTAGAACTTGTCCGAGATCTTATCAATTCCAATGATCACACCAAGTTTCATCAGAATCGGATGAAAACTGTAGCTTCAATCCTGCTCACGAACAGTTTTTAACAAATGTCAAGGCGTTCTAAGTCAAGGGCAATAACTCAAAAACCGTTCATCGAAAATATGTCAAATTCGAACTTGACTGAGATCTTATCAATCATAAGCATCACACCAAGTTTTATCAAAATCAGATGAAAACGGTAGTCTCTATAGTGCTCACAAGAAATGTTGAGATTCGACGATCCAATGATAAAGGTGGATTTCTTTATGGCAGGAAGATTCCATGATGATTTAGTGGTAATAATGGTTGTTCACGGGGTAATTGGTACTGGCCTCTGAGATGCTAAAAGGGAGCATTGAGTACTATGATCTGGTTCGAGGAGGAGTACATTTTGCGCAAAAGGAAGGGAGGCGGAAGCTGAATCACGCCTAGAAGACTGAAGGCGTAGATGGCGAATCTGAAATTGAAAATAGTAGAGGGGTGTCCTCTCTGTGTGATCGTTTACTTGCGTCCTCTGGACTTAGACTGGGTGAACCACGGGCTTGTTTCGGGGTCTGTGTGGTGATTTTACTTGGTACTGGCAACTCTAGTCTTGGTCTCATTGATGGTTGGCGGAATTTGGTAAGAACAGTTTTGTACCAAAGAAGCAGAATGGGTTTGGTTGTATTTCTGTACGTATTTACAGTTATGTACTTTAAGAGACACCTCTGTTTTAGCCACTGCACCTTTTTGACAGCTGTGAGCATCATCTAAGCAGGAGATGCCCGAGGCAACTGGACGATGAAACAAATAACTAATCCTAACGCTGGACTAATAAACACATATATAATGTTATTGTAACAACTTTCATTCACTACACGTAAATAATTTTACCCGTAAGTTATTACTAAGGCCTTGAATAAAAGTGGCGCTAAACTTTAACTGAATGTAACTTAAAAATGATTGGTCCAAAAATATGTTGAGTGTCCCAGTTCTCCCATACTTACAAAAAGGTGAGCGAAAGTGTCGGCTCATGTCATTGAGAAATAAACCTTGTCTCTGAATTACACATAGGCTTCGGCAATTTCCCCGAGGCATGCCATAATTGATGTAATTGATTTGGTTTTGTTATCGCAATACACTATCTTCTGTATAATCTCAGACTACAAATTTTGATTCAGTTTTGGGGGTTAATGCCCACCTGTAAGACGAACCCGAGTAGGATTTGATTAAATAAAGACTGTGACTGTATTATGACTCTTTAGTGATTAGGGTGGTTGAAAGGTAACAAGTTACTATCCAACAAGCACTGGCACAGGATTAAAGCAATGTTCATGAATGTTAAGGTTAATATGTTAAAATGGAAATTCGTACTCGTAGTCCAAAGACCTAAAAATTAAGAAACTGATACTTTAATTCTTGCACTGAAATTATAAATTGATGATTTATTAAACAAATTTAAAAATACCAAATACCCATTGAAAGAAAACCAAATGCTAGATGGACTTAACGAAATAAATGAAATAAATGATATAAATGAAATTAGTGTATTGGCCGAGTCGAATGGTTTGCAGTTCATCAGTTAACCCATTTAAATTTTCGAATGATTACAATATAAACACAAACGTAGCGAATAAAAAAAAATAGACAATAAAAAAAATTATATCAACTAATCTATATATTTCAACCTTGAATAGATGACTTGACGTCTTTGTTTTATTTTTCATTTACTTCATTAACTAAAAATAATAACTCAAATAATAACTCAAAAACCGTTCATCAAAAATATCTCTTGTTAGAACTTGTCCGAGATCTTATCAATTCCAATGATCACGCCAAGTTTCATCAGAATCGGTTGAAAACTGTAGCGTCAATCCTGCTCACAAACTATTTTTAACAAATTTCGACGCATTTTAACAAAGTCAAGGGCAATAAATCAAAAACCGTTCATCGAAAATGCGTCAAGTTAGAACTTGTCCGAGATCTTATCAATTCCAATGATCACACCAAGTTTCATCAGAATCGGTTGAAAACTGTAACTTCAATCCTGCTCACGAACTACTTTTAACAAATATTGATGCGTTTTTACAAAGTCAAGGGCAATAACTAAAAAACCGTTCATCGTAAGTGCGTCAAATTAAAACTTGTCCGAGATCTTATCAATTCCAATGATCACACCAAGTTTCATCAGATTCGGTTGAAAACTGTAGCGTCAATCCTGCTCACAAACTATTTTTAACAAATTTTAACACGTTTTAACAAAGTCAAAGGCAATAACTCAAAAGCCGTTCATCAAAAATGCGTCAAATTCAAACTTGACCGAGATCTTATCAATCTTAAGCATCACACCAAGTTTTATCAAAATCATATGATAACTGTAGTCTCTATAGTGCTCACGAGAAAAGTTGACGGACGGACAGGGGCGACGACAATATACGACCACATATTCATGTGGGCGTATAAAAAACCGTTCATCGAAAATGCGTCAAGTTAGAACTTGTCCGAGATCTTATGAATTCCAATGATCACACCAATGTAAATAAACTATAATTAGGATCTAACAACAAATGTGACTAGATAATAATTTGAGCTATATATCAAAGAGACAAGAGACAACTGTCAAATTATCCTCTTTAAAAATAACTAGATTGCCCATTAAGATACATATGAATTATCTAAGTAAAATATAAAAACATTATCTCAAAAGTAGTAATACAAGTTATGATCAACAAATATAAATCGAAGTGTTAATCATAAAGTAATAACAAAAATGATCAACAAATATAAATCGAAGTCCTTACAACCTTGCATGCATGATTAGCATGCATAACAAATGGCTCGGAATTATCTAAGTGAAATATAAAAACATAATCTCAAAACTCCAAATAAAAAATGATCAATAAATATAAAGTATAAATTGTACTACCAAAATAATGTCAATAGACCTCAGTCTAGATCATTCGATCTATAAGAATTTGAAGATCTCCTTTTCTATAATGTTCCTGCAGATTGTAAGAATAAATGGAATCATTTTCTTCATATTTCACATTATACCACATTGGGAAGCCTGGTACAACATTTATGACGCGACCACAATATCAGAGTGCTTTTGATTAAGAATGTTTTTTTCTGAACTTTAATTGTGCTTGCAGAGCCTTCTGAATTTCTTTTTCGTTGCTTAAACGACTAATGGACTCATCGATTTGGTCCCTGGATTGCCACAGCCCATAGAAACACGCTTCAATCGTCATAATTTCTGCCATTCGAATCCTTTCAGCTTCTAATTTTGCGATCTCCTCCTTTTTTCTTTTGAATTTCAAGTTTTTCTTTTTCTATGATTTCTAATCTATTTCTGTACTCCCTTCTTGTCTGGAATCGTCAAGGTATTTCCTCTTTTCGTCATCAGAGTTTCTTTTAACCACTTTGCTGTTTTATGAAAGGCATACATTTAATATGCCTTATTTGTTTGTACTGATGCATTTGGTCTGAAAGAAACAAGGTAGTCTAATTGCCCTAGAATAAATTCATGAAGCTTGTTATGCTTCATTGCTGATGAAGAAGAGGCACGAATTTGCTCATCGGCTTCTCAAAATTTTCCACCAGGTAAATGTTCTGGCACCATTTTTACAATGAGCTCTTTTATAGCTAGAAAAAGTCCTTCTAATATCTGGTGTAGTATTTTATCAATTTCTTCCACAGGCTGCATGGGGGAATTTAAAATATCATCATTTGTGTCAATCATTGTGTTAAATGGAGTGGAGATTCCTAAAATAAAATTAATTTTCTTTTCCGTTGAAGTATCCTGAAGGAAAGTAACAAAGGTCGATATAATGTTCATTCATGTCTAATATGTTCCCAGGTTCCTCAATTTAACGCCACAAAGGTGCATTTATAAATTTTTAAAACATAGTTAGACAGTAGTCCTTTGTTGTTTTAGGCCATTATTTCAAAGAATGTACTGTTTTTGTGAACACCTACTCACAACTTCCAAAAACTGTACTTTCTTTGACCTAAGAATGTACAGTTTTTGGAAAAAATAGTATATTATTAAACTTAAAAAAGAACAGATTTTCAGATAACTAGAACAAACATATTACTGCAATTTTTGAAGCAATACTACAGTCAAATAAATCAAAATTTCATGGACAAATTCATTCCTGGCATTGAAAGTTTGAATTCTCTGAGTTCCTTATGTTCTTTGTCACTGGTTTCCTCATTAACGCAACGTTCTTGCTTAAATTTAGTTGGACTTGTATCCACCAATTCTTCCAATTTATGTTTTTTGGAACCACTATGCAATACTGAACTCACAGAGGCTTGCTGGGCATCACTTGTTCTTTTATATGCTCGTAAAGCATTAGATCGGTGTCCAGTGAATTGCTCGTCCACTCCAGCTTGATATAAACGAGTTGTAGCTGTGGCACGAAGGGAATGATTACTAAAGTTTCCAATTATACCAGCCGACTGACATAAACGTTTAACAGTGGACTGTATGGTATGAATTCCTATAGGAGAATCACAGTATCAAACATCAGAGCATGGCATCTTCTTTGGACGCAGATAAAATACATCAACTGTACCGTTTTTTGGACGCAGAGCTATATACTTTTCATATAATCTAACTGGACATCTTAATGGGTTAGAATATTCATAAGCCCTTGTCATTTTAGGACTGACTTTCCTGTGATCTAAACCACCTTGGTTTGTCTTTGAAACATCTTCTATGCACTGCATATATTTTTTACCTTCTAAGTCATACTTAACAGACAATTGAGTGTTCATACCAAACCTTAAATTCTTCAGCAGCTCGCAGTGCAAAATGTAATCCAAACAAGAAAAGAAGAGTATCCAATAACTGCTGTGGGTTACTTTCACCTAACAAGCCTTTACTCCATAAAATCTCTTCTTGTTCTATTGTAATAACTTCTGACTTCTTGGTATTAATACCCAGTCCAAGTCTCGACAACTCCTTCATTTTACTGTTCAGAACACTTCTTAAACCCTGATATCCATAAAGGCTATTAAACGTCCATTCTGACGAAGGTAGTGCTGTATAGATATAAAAATCTCATACAAAGTATTTGGTTTATAATTATCACCGGATTCCTTACGCACTTCAGCTATAAAAAAGTAAAGTGCCTCATTCAATTCTTGACTGGAAAGATTAAATAAACCTTTTTCTTCAGAGTTATTATTGGTATTGTGTTTCTTCCACATACTAAACAAATTAACTGCCCATCTAGTTTAATTTCAGTTTTAATACTAAGACCACTTTTAACCAAATTTTTTAGATCAGAATCATGCAGGGGCTTGGAAAACCACAGTGAACTCTTGACATTTTCTGGCAAATTTGGTGTTTCAACATCGCTTATATCAGAGTACTTCATATCAAACTTTGGTAACTGTATGGCTTCTTTTACATAATTTTCCTCCACATTCAGAGCATCACTAAGAACAGTATCCGTTTCTAAATTATAATCATCTATTTCACAAGTCTTTGTTTGGGTAATAAATATATCATCATCACTAGAACCTGACATCTTGACACTTGAAGAATCAACTATTCAATGAATGAATGCATGAATGTTTAAAAGTGTACATTCTTAAAGTAACAACTGTCTTAAAACAACATTCAGTAGTGAGCTGTGTGCATGCTCATTTAATGTTCAAAAAGATTACATTCTTAAAGTAATATACATTGAGTCTCTCTCAGTTAACACCCCTCAGTTGTTTCTTCTGTTGACAGAAAGTACAGTTTGAGGCCTTTATCCCTTACTGAAATTAGTCCAAAAGCTTTTGCTCCTGCCAAATACAGTTGCTTTCAAAGACGTGATTGATGATCCGTGTACATTACCAAAAAATTCAACAATTTCTTCTCTGTGAAAAAAGACAGCCTGACCAATCACAAATACAACATTAAAACGGTTGTTTAAACTGAATTATTTGATTGCATCTTTTTCGATTCTTCAAAAATGTACTCCAGGGTAAAATTACTCCATTCTTTTGATCCTCCCCTTTGGCAAAAGTTTGCTGCACATGCGAAGGAGACGCACAGGTTCCACTTTCTGACTTATGAAAGCGCTTCAATTCTGGCAGTTTCGCAGATCTGATATTTTGTCCGTCTAAATAATATGTTTCAAACTTTTTTTATTGAGGCTTCGCACACATCTGCAATTCCTACCAACAAATGCAGGCCACAAAAGAAATTGTTTAATTGTCCACAGAATTTTTGTTCTTCAGGTGATAGTTGATCAAAATCATCAATAACACTCGGCAATATGGAACACCTGTAATCTTCTAATAAGTTATAGAAATAAATAGTAATATATTAAACTCCTATATAACATTAGCTATGACAGTTATTACGATTATTATCCGTTGTATAGTAGAATATGTTGCCTAAGTTTTGGAATCTGAAATTGTGCTGCATCAGCTTGAGTATGATTCACCATATTACACATACGCACACAAGTCTGATTTTTGAATTACTCTGGAATCATGAACAGTACCAGGGCAGTACTATATGTCTGCAGATAGCCTGAGCTTGGATGGAATGAAAACCTTTACGATTAACATGAGAGACTAGGGGTGTGCTAGGGGTGTTTTTATTATTTTTAATAGGACTGTTACTGAACTTTATGTTTAGTTGACCAAGAAATATGTTGCTTTATTTCTCTCCAAATTATTGAGAATTGCAGCAGTAACTCTCTCCCTATATCGAATTACAGAAGACATCAAAACGAACTGCAATCTTTCTTTTGGTGCCACAAAAAGGATTGTTAAGGGATTTTCTAAATTTTTATGTTTATAAGGGACACTATTAGCAACAATTTGCACCATTCCAGTTTTCAATATATATAGATACATGAATAAACTGACAACAGTTACGACAAATATAGTGATAAGCAGTGGCAGGGATTCGTAGAACAGATTTTCAACTTTATAACGGTTAAAGTAATAACTAGATATGTAGTAATTAGATTATAGTGAAAGTGAAAGAATGATCCTGACTTATATTAAATAATATGGTGACGCCACGCATACTTCATAACAAATCTACGTCATTGACCATGGTAGAGGAGGTTAATTACATGGAGTTCCATTTACCGCAGTGTCCATTCCCTTTAAAAAAATATACTGAAAATATCAGTGTTATAGACAAATCAAGGTGTGATATAAATACTTTCTGACTACAATGTTTACTGAACTAAATTTTGAAAAATTCCGAAAAGTAGGCTATTTTCATGTGAATTTTTTGGGAAGGAAATTGTGTCTATTTCAAATGTAAAATCACTGTACCATAAATTTGTATGGACCCGAAGACATACTCAGACAAATGGCATACAGTTGAAAAAAATCAGTCAGAGAGTAGCTATTGTTCTTCAGTTGTATTCATTATATCATATCTAAATGGAACGATCAGAAAACACGCACTTTAACGATTTTCACAAACTGACATGCTCTAGTAATTTCGTTAAAATCTTCATCTATTTGAGATCAATTCGCGATATACTTATATACTTGATACGTACACATGCATTATCAATGAATAAACCGGAATAAAACTGTCTTCTCTTTTATTCCAGAGTAGATAACATCTATTTTGAATGTGATATATCCGGTACCGTATTTTTGGAATGACTCTAGAATTAAAATAGGCGAAACCTGATCAGATTATGCCAATACACAGTTACACTCAAAGGGAAATAACTCTGTAATAAATCTTTCAAAAGGAAACGACCGCCTCAAGTTGTGATTTTTCATCGTGATTCATAAATTCTAGTCAACCGAGCTGTAAATGGGTACAGATAATCCTAGAAAGATTAATGCCAAGAGCGTGGACCAGCTGGTAGAAATCATTTGTGAACAAATTTAAGTTGTTATCCTTGTAAAATATAATTTAATATTAGCCTTCTTTCTTTCTTCATTATATTTTCCCTCCCATCCTCTTTATATAATTCATTTAAAACTAAAATCAGTCGTGAATTGTTTTAAGAGAAGACATTTAAACTCATCTATATGTCTTGACGGATGTTAAAATAATGTCTCTAATAGCTTATTTTTTACGTCTTGGTCGACATTATATTATTTTCAAGCGCACTTCATCGATCTTTTGTAACAGAGTTCAAGCGTTTGGACGAAGCTGGATAATGATTGAAACCACAATTTAATGCGAGAAGCACTGATGCTAGTAGAAAGAAATGTGGAAATCCAGCAGTTCCAAAAGGTATGGTATTAGTGAAAGAAATGAGGCTAGTCAAATAAAGCCTAGAAAAAAAATAGTCTGACATCCGCTGTTTAAACTGTAGCAAACTATTGAAGTTAAAACAGGTGATGAATTAAGGATTATTGGTACTTTATGGATAAAATTGGTCATTGAATTGGATGAGGAAACCCTCACTGAAATTTGTACCGGTATCTATGTTAATAACAGGATTTCCAATCAGGTAACATGCGTATCGGTAACCATCCATATTATGGATTCGTTCAGTACTTCTCGTATATCTGACAGCATTATAAACAATTCATTTGCGGTATGGGTTAACTTAGTAGATCCTGTGCCGGCCTTCACTGATTCAGACAGATGAAGTACCTCTATGTTCAAATAATACTAAAATAAGTCCCATTGGCCAATATACCATTTAATGATTTTGTTCAAGTAGCATGGTTTACTATATTATGTGTTAAATTCATTCTGTACTATTCGTATTTCTGACTGTATCTGAATGTATTCTGTACTACTCGAATTTATGGCTGCATCTGAAATATATTTTGTACTGCATCAGTCTGAATATATTCTGTAGCCTACTACTCGTATTTCGAACAGTATCAGACAAGACCCTTTTGCGAAATGGACTTACTTAGATCATGTTCAGGCCTCAATGTTCAGATGGATAGTCCATCTATATGATACAAATAAATTAAATTTTGCATGTTAGATGCTCCTTTATCGGTCCCACTTGTTCGTGAAATTACTTGAAAATTAGTATATCTGACAGCATTATAAACAATTCATTTGCGGTATGGGTTGAAAATTAGTAAGTTTTTAATATGAAAGGATTTATTTGAAGTATTAGTGGATTTTGTATTGTTTCATAAATATAGTCTTTGTCTCTGCAATGGAATCTGTTTTGTAGAAAGTGGTATCAGAAAAACTATTCTTTTTCAGACTGACGTTGACTGAAGTTGGATGTTGCTTATTGAGATTTTTTAAAATTTGTAAAAAACATCTAACATTTTAAGTTTATATTTATAGTTTCTACTTGCTCCTTATCATTTGCTGTTTTGGTTCCTATATATAGTATCCAAAAAATCTCGACCAGATACTGATCCATATCACAAATTAATCTTGTGGTTTGTTTAGGCTCACGAACGTATTTTGCGAGTTAATACGATAAGAAAAGTTAATTCTCTTTCTTAGCCGAGGTTATTAATTCTTAAGAAAAGTTATTGATTTTATTCATTGATTCGTTATTAATCTATCGGATATATTACCTGGGATTGGCCTGACACTTTTTATATCTTAGAATTCGTGGGTCATGTTGAGTGGGATTAGGATGGATCTTTATATATAGATGACCAATCGACTTGTTTTATTCAACCTAGCAACTAAGATTTCACTTCGGACTTCACTTATGTGGTGGGTTATTGAAGTCGGAGTGTTGTTAATTTGGAATCAGAAAAAATTGTAAACTGTCGAAGAAATGTTATGGTTACGCCCGTTGTTATGTACGGGATATGTAGAAAATTTGTTTCTGATCATTATTGCGTGAAATTTGCTTTTATTTTTTAACAGTTATCTTATTGTGTAAGTTCATTAAAAGGTAAGAACGATGCCTATCGATTTCATCGATTTCCATTTATCGATGATCAAAAATTTGTCATTGATAAGAAACGTTCTCACCAATTTGGATTTTGCATGTTAAGAGTTTTGTTATCTTCTGTCCAATTGCCAGATCATTACGACTTGTGTTGATGTTAATCAAAAACTGATATAAAAGTGCTCACCTTAATAAGCTAATTTTTCTTTAGCAATGGATTCTATCTTGTACGGATTCACCAGAGTTTTATTTTGACGTATTCCATCATTATTTTCGTGTCTCGATTCTCTTTCAGCCACCAAGCATGTACATCTGGATATGAAAATCATATAATCAGTTAGAGGACAATAGTCGATTTTAAATCCATTGAAATAGTTATGGCGGATGAACATGACTACAAACACTATTATCTCCCGTTCTTATCTGGAAATAGTTTCCGCGGTAAACATAAACCTAGAACGTTTCCCACTGCTTTCGTAGAGTTTTGTGACATTGGGAAACCAGAACCTACTACAGAACTGCCTAGAGAATATCACAACCACTTTAAACCATCCTCATTATGTTTACCAAAGATCCAACCACGATGTGTGAGAGAAAGGGAAACTCATTTATCAGATATTCCCGTACACTCGATTCTTCCATTGGCTAGCAACAAAGTACCATTTACATTCACCGAAGGACTAAGTGCTCTTAGTGCTCCGACGCCGCCATTGTTTCCAATTCAACGGAGTGATGTACCACCAGCTAATCTGCCGAATGTTAAGAAGTCTTTAGAGGAGAAGATCAAGGGTCAATATACTATCGAGCGACGAATAACTTATGAGGACACTCCAAGAAGGACAACAATAGCAACTAAGCATATTCCCTTAATAAAAAGAGATGAGACATTGGAACCTGCTGTACAAGACGTGAAACGTCTAGAATGTCGCCCTTTCTTAAAATTTGCACCTAACGTCATTCACGATAAACGCCCTAAAAAGCATTCAATTGACCTGAGGTCATACACTCCGTACAACAAGAACATGGACACTAAGTTTATTGTGCCCAAGGAAATCGGTATGTGTGACCTTGACAACGTGTCTTGGTCTAGACAAAAATCTTTTGGAAACTTTTACCAACAGGAAATAAATCGACTGCGCGAGAAAAAATCCAACAATAAACTTTCAACCACATGTGTGCTTGGTGTATCTAGTGTTTCAGAAACAAAACTCGAGCTGCCGTTTAGCGTTTTGCGTGAGAGAAAGGCATCAAAAGCTATGACAAACCAATCAAGTGTTACACATGATATAAACAAATCTTTGACTGACTTTTCGCAATACAAAGGAGATTCGGAAGCATGTACCTCAACCAGATTCGTCATTAAGATGCCAATTACAACGGATATGCACCAGAACGAGATATCAGAGGTTGCACGTCTGAACACCAATAATTCTAACAACCGTGAGAGTTCTTTTGAAATTGACGAATGTCAGTCGATTTCTTTAAGTGAAAATCGTGACCCACAGGAAGTTGACGTATTACGACTGTTATCGATTGAACCCATTGACATAGGAGAACCACTTGACTCAAATAAAAAATTATCGCCCAATTATGTTGAAGAAAATATTCAATCTGAAGATCTATCTAAACTATCTGACATTGTTCCCGATGACTCTACAGGTGAACTTGCCTTTAAGGGAAATAACTCTTTAGAGACTTATGAAGAAAACGGTTGGTCGAACAAAGTCGATAAGGAATTAGATGAGAATATTTGTGAATGTATAAAACAAATAGACACTGAGTCTGAACAACCAAATGCAGAAGACACCCCTACAGAGTTGGATGCTAATAATTTTAGTGAGGGAGTAACGAAAAAATTGCGACTTGAAGTTATAGTGTTGAAAAGAACACTTGCTTATCGAGAAATTACAACTCAAATGTACTATTCGTAAGGCATATTCAGACATATAATGCAATTCATTATTGCTGATTAAGCGCTTATCTTGAAATAGTTGTAAGAGGTCACATTTTGAAATAAAACTTTTCATAATTCATATTTTTCCTCCATTTCATTTTTTGGTACATCATATTAAGCAAATTATTTCTGTTAATACTGTCAAGACGCGGGTAGCAAGTAACAATAATTGTGGTCGGAAAATACACCATACTTTCTCTCGTAACAAACACTGAGATGGGGAGAAGGAGAAAGATACCATCACACCAATTCATACTCAAATCCGATATCCCCACATCTAATTGTGCTCAGGATTTTTACGATACTCTCCTTGGCGATAATTCCATCATAAAGTTGGCTGATGTATTAAAAAAAAAAGTATTAACGATCTGTACCGCAAAAAGAAACCCGAAATAAGAAATTACATATTGGCAATACATTACATTGTGTATCAAGCATTGATAAATTAGTATTTCATAATGAAAAGTGGTATCAGGTGTATAGAAGAGTAAGCTTACCTTGCCTGTAAAGCCGTAACATTTGCCTCTATTCCAGCCTCTGTTATTTTGAAACTTTGTCAGCTGGTGTAAAGACAGAAAAACCAAGCCCAGATATATTCGGAAAGATGGATATTTTTGTAGTTACCTTAACTATTTATGTAACACCATCATAACCCCCCTGTCACGTCTGCGGTTCCATCAAAATTTTCTTTAACGAAATTAAGCACTCGTCTGCAATTTATAACAGTCAAAAGCGTCTGTAGCCAAAAATGCAAGGTCACAGACTTACGTGATACTAAAAAAGGAAAGTTACGGTGATGCCCAACACAAATTCAATATTATGATAGAAAAACGCATCCTCGGGAGGTATGGAAAATTGGAAAGTGGCTATCTTGATAAGTGAAAAAGCAAACCCAACCGTATCGAACTGGATCGGATTATTCTATTCGGTTATAACCGAATTAAATATTCCAGGTGCGCAGTGCCAAAGGGGTATAGTGGTCTGATTCCAATTTCATTAATAATTTAATATTTGTAGTCTAAATCCAATTGGTCTGGATAATCTGCATTTTCTAATGTCTAATGTATTGACATTTACGTCTGGAGGGAAAAGACAAGTGTTCCTAGATTATTAGAACTTCCTCTTTAAAAGAAGCACATGGATGCCATAAAAGATTGTTTTCAGAGTTCTATTGGTTTGACAACAGTTTGGAAGTTACAATCAGGAACTGTTTTTTCTAATCGGTTCTCGGCTTCAGTTTTTGGTTCTCGGTTCTCTGGTTTTCTGTGGTCCAGTTCTCACTGACAGTGAACTTTATCAATGTTATTCATTGATTTCATTGTGTAAGAAGATTTGATTTTGAACTGTGTTAAAAGCCGTTCCTGTATTTTCATCATAAATAAACCCAATTTGTTGAACTATCATATTTAATTATTTTTTTATATCAAAAGACAATCCCTACGTCTTAATACGTGGTAATGTCCTGATGAATTGCCTGGATATCGGGACAAGGGAAAATACTCCTGTAGTTGAAGCTCTGATGTTAAAGGCTTTGGTCTAGCTATGAAATCAGCGTAGACAGATCACGCTTTAGCGTAACGAACCATATGAGATACATCTACTAAATATTTCTGTTTATATGCCCCTTGTTCACAACTTTTATTTCTGTTGATATATAAATTATCTATACCAATTTCTGTGGTCTCAT